ATATGGCAGATATTTAGCAATGAGAAAAGTACATGGCAATAAAAAATTTATGTTTGATAAATCAATCTAAAGTCAATAAATAGAAAATTAGGCTTTCCAACATTCTTTTAAAATCTAGGATTATTACCTGTACAGGTAGGATGCGCACTAGTAAACGCAAGACCTACGGCCAGCCAAGAAGTGCAGGTTCTAACCGAAAGATCAAGAAGAACGACATATCAAAAAATTAGCTTATCCCCTATTATCATTTTCCCGACGTTGCTAGCTTCCGGACTATTAGGGAATTACCTAGCGATATCAATCCGTATGATGCATTTGTTTTGCTCATTGATGACGAAATAATAGACCTGCTTGTATTAGAAACAAATCGATATGCTGAACAAAAATTAAATATATCTAAGTTATCCCCATCTTCACGGATGCATAGCTGGAAAAAAACTAATTCGGAAGAAATGAAAAAATTTTTGGGATTGATATTATGGATGGGATTTGTAAAAACAAACCCTATATCTAATTATTGGTCGAAAAACCCATTATACAATTTTGTTTTACCACGTAATATTATGTCTCGAAACAAATTTAAATTATTACTTAGTAACTTTCATTTTGCTGATAAAATATCTACTGCCCCTGAAGATCGACTTAAAAAAATACTTCCACTTGTCAACAAACTTCAGAAAAAATATCAAGAAACATTCAGGCCCGGGGAAGACATTGTCATTGATGAAACGTTTATTCCAAGGCGTGGAGGATTCATATTCAAACAATATATACCGAATAAAGCACATAAATACGGGATCAAATTATTTAAATTATACTCAAGCGAAGGATATACATGGTCAATGAAAATTTACTCTGGTAATTTAGCTGACGGGATTAGAGAAACAGGATTAGCACACAATGTATACCTACAACTTACAGATACACTTTTCCACAAAGGACGAACATTATATATTGACAATTTTTATACAAGCTATGAATTAGCTATATCATGTCTGAACCGAAAGACTCATGTAGTTGGAACACTTAAAAATAACAAAAAATTCATGCCAGAAGATATTCTTAATTGCAAATTAAAAAAAGGAGAAATAGTATCCAAAGAAGATAATAATGGTATTGTCATACTTAAATGGAGAGATTCGCGAGAAGTAAGAATTTTATCAACAAAGCATGCTCCCATCATGGTACCAAGTAATATTCATGCTGCTTCTACAATCCAACATTCATCTGAAAAATTGAAACCACTAGCTGTTCTTGCGTATAATAAAAGAAAGTGTAGAATTGATTATTCAGATCAAATGGTTTCTTATGTCAGTACAATGAGAAAAAGACTCAAATGGTACCAAAAACTCGGTATCCAGCTTCTTCTGGGCATTACAGTTGTAAATGCTTCTATCATTTACAAGATTGCAACAAAAAAAAACATAAATATAAGAAAATTTAGAGAAATATTAGCTCTGAAATTATTAGGACTGACTGATAATATAGATAAATTCAAGGTTCAATCAGATTGTCAATGTAATCATAATATTGCTATCCGAAAAAATGCTCTTGGACAAAAAATTAAAAGGGCTTGCAAATTATGTTATTCGAATAAAAGACTTACTACAGATCGATCAAAAGCACGAATAAATATAAAAAGAACAACAACGTTTTGCCCAGATTGCCCTGATAAACCCCAACTTTGTATAGACGTTTTCAAAGCATTTCATTGTAAATAATATTTTTTAGAAAACTTTTATGGAAATTCAATAGTTTCATATTTTGTGAAATATCTTTTGAAATATTGACTAATATACATTGTAAGCACTAAAAAAAGCATCACCCAAATACGGCTGACGGGGCCTGTTCAGAATATTTGCCGTCAGCCATACATATATGACATGGCAATCATCGTGTTAAGGAAGTCCCCGTCAGACCACGTGCGTTACCTTATATTGAAAAAAGTTGAAAGTGTCAGTCAGTGATCCCATTCGTACGATAATTATCGTACGCGTCACATAATTTGAAGCATTGTACGATCCAAAATTTATCTTGTACGATCCAAAATTCAGCTTGTATGTAATTAACGATAATTAATATTCGATAAGTCTTGATTTTGTTTTTATTTCGCGATTCGGTTGTCGGTTGCAACGCACCCTACCGTACACAGACAATTTTTTTGATGACTACAGCCAGGTAACAAGTGATAATAGCTCAGAAACCAATCAAAAGCCAGGAAAAACCTGAAAAACAGAAAATAGGAAAAAGAAAGATACGAAAACGGACTTGAGGACCTAAAAAAAAAAAAGGTCATCAAGTTTGCAAAAGTTGGTACTTTGACTCTTTTTGCAGATTTGAAATTCTAAAAAATTCAGAAATTGTACAAATGTGGAAATCAGAAGTGTCAAATCTAAAATTCCTAAAATTCAAAATTTTTTCCTGTGCGTACGATAATTTTTCTGTGTGTACGATAATTGTACGGCCCTATGTCGATCAGACAATCTAAAGTCTCTGGGATCACTGACCTAAAGTCAAACGTCAGTCACCGGTGACTAACACTAACTAAACTTTCCGTTTAGGTTATGTTAGTTGCCAGTGATTGTTATTTAACTGTTTTTTTAATACAAAGTAACACGCATGGCCTAACGGAGATTTCTCTTAGAATTCGCATGACGCTCAACGTAACGACCGTTTCAAATTTCAAAATTGTACATTTCTCAGTGTAATTATCAGAAAATCAAAATAATGAAATCTTGTGCATCTTTATGACCGCACCAAAAACTTTTCACAAAACACCCTTTGTATCCTCAGCTTGACGCTGCCCTGTCAAAATTTATATATTATTATTAAATATATGCGTTAATATATTTTTATATAGAATATTTACATAAAAAGAAATAATTAAGTAATATGAATTCATTAAAATAATTTAATTTTTTGTTTATATATATACATAAACGTTTAATTTTATTATCATAAGGATAACAATTTGAATCGTTTATTCTTCAGGGCGTGTTAAGTATCGGTTAATAAAGTCGACGCCTGAGGCTATTGGAAGATAGTGATATTTATTTATACAAGAATCAGGATTCGACAAAGTGTAAAAGTATTTGGACAGAATTTTTAAGGCAAAAAATTGGTGGCAGATATCTTAGACGAAAAAAAAAATCGACTAGTCTCGGACACTTGATTTCCGCTCTCTTTGCTACTTGCTTCGCTGTAGGGATACTATAGGAGGGATGCGCCATGTACATTGCTGGGGGACCGGAACTCGATTTTGCGCGCGAATGATTCAAACATTAAAATAATTATGAAATAATGAATTGCATCAAATACAGAAAAAAATGAACTATATTTAATGATAATTAAAAATTTATATTAAAATAGAATAGGTTACACGAGAAAATTATTATAAATTCAAGCGGTCCCCCAAAATTTTCAGCCAATGGCACATGAGCTGAATATGAATGGCGCATCCCTCCTACAGGATCCCTACTTCGCTGGTGTTTATGCTGCCGCCTAGCATCACTAGCAGGAGATGCGCACTAGTGTCTGTGCTGCCGTTTACCGTCACTAGCGGGAAGTAGTTGACATGCCACAATTCTTTTATGATTAGATTCGAATGAAGTATTTTTTGAATAGTTTGGCGAACGCGAATCCACATCTACCTTCTACTCTCCCTCAATTTTCCTACCATGCATGATTGTTCTCCGTTGCATCATCTCGATAGCTGACTTTTAATCGTCTAGTTTGCTAAACTATAGTATTGCATTTTCAATGAGTAAAAATCGTGGCGATCACTGGTGGATTACTTACTTTTGTCATGTATCCTACTGTCAAATTTTGTTATCAAATATTTGAACTGTAGTATTTATTATAACAGACCTTGGATGTGATTGTTTATAATAATTATTATTAGAAATGGTTAATGTAGAGACTATACAACAAAATTATCCACTGCATTGGCTGGTGTGGAATAATAACTATGTTGAACTTGCTAAGGAGCTCTCTACAAATCCGGTTTGTGTAAAAAGATCTTGCATATCATTTTTCAACAGCTTTATTTACTGTTATTTTCATAACATCTTTGTTAATTGATATATCAATATCTATTATGTAATACATAGATATTACAAGTATTTATTAATTTCAGATGTGAACAGTGCATTTTCCAAAAGTTTCATTTAATGAAGAATTTTCATACTTAATCAAAGATTAAAGTAATAATTTTATTCAAAAGAAATGGAATATCTCTCATATGTTCATGATGCACATTTGTTAGTTTGTTGTTGTAGTATCTTCATTTTACAATGTATTTTATTATGATCATTAATACTATATATAGTCAAGCCAAATACTTCAATCATGTGCAAGTAGAAAATAAACATGTCTTTAAGTTTATTTTTGATAATTTTATATAATTTATATATAGCATTATATTACATGTTAAATAGATAATTAGATGTAATGTAAATATTTAGATATTAGATAATTAATTGTTTTATTTAATGAAACATGAAATGTTATGCATTGTTGACATTCCTTAAGTCAATATTTTTGAATTATGTTTAATAACGATTAAAAATTTGAATGGGAAGTTCTTAGATATTTCCCAAAAAGACTTCTGAAGCCTTATATGGAAATCTTATTCAGAAACCTTATTTATGCAGTATAACATTTTATTCATGATATTATATATACTAAAAATATATAGATATATAAATTTGATTAATCTAATAAATTAGTTTTATTTTAATCTTTTTAAAAACTCACAAAGTAAATATTTCCTTTGATATATATATATATATATATATATATATATATATATATATATATATATTTGTTTTTGTATTACAGCATGAAATAGAAAAACATGATACTCGTGGAAGAACCCCCTTGATGTTAGCAGTTACTTTAGGTCATACTGATTGTGCTGTAGTTTTATTACATCATGAAGCTAATGTCAACACAGAAAATACTCAAGGATGGACCGGTAAGTAATTGTAATTTTTTAAATTTATAAAAGCAATTTATAATTTGATGTTAAATATATACCGAGTTTTCTATAATTGGTAGTACAAACGAGCAGAGGATAATTAAAAACTAAGTCGAAAACTTAATGCATGCGTACTCAATAAATATTCAAATTTATTTTTCTCTGAAACAATGCTTTATATGAACAAATTGTATTCTACATTATCTATTTAGTTTTTCATGTAGAATCATCCCCTGCTCAGTTGTACCACCAGTTAAAAGACACTCTGTATATGTTTTATGTGTTTGATTCAGTGGTTCAAGAAGCAGTCGGAACTGGTAACCCAGAATTATTACAAATGGTGCTTGCACGTAGGGATTACCAAAGATATTGTAATCGTGTTGCAGGTATTCCCGAATTACTTCACAAACTTAAACAGGTTAGTTTTTTTATGAGAACGAATGAAGCTTTTATCATTGCTTTGATATATTAATAAAATACAAAATATATTAATGCTTTTTATATATGCATTTTTTCTATTATATTTATTATATATTAATAACAGAAAAATTTATTTTTTCTACAATTAAGTAATATTTTATATGCTTCATGATTTAAAGGTATAAGTAAATGTTATAGCATCTAAGTAGTATGATTGTATATTTATTTTTTGTTATATTTATTTGAATTATTATCATTTCCAGGCACCCGATTTTTATGTAGAAATGAAATGGGAGTTCACTAGTTGGGGTAATTATCTAGACAAATTTATTCGTGCATTTTAAAATCAAAATTCAAGGTATGCAGTTAAATTTAAGGCAAATTGTTAATATATTCTAAGAGTTTTCTTTTATTTTTGTTTTATTAGTTCCTCTTGCATCTCGTATGTGTCCAAGTGATACATACAAAGTTTACAAACAGGGTAGTAATGTAAGAATTGATACTACTTTATTGGGTTTTGATCATACAAATTGGCAACGAGGAAATCGAAGTTATGTTTTTAAAGGACAGAGTAAGTTTATTATATATTATAATATTTATTACTTACTACATAAATTTACAGAAAGTAACAATAATGATTTCTATTATATTATGAATTACTCAATTACTTTTTAAATCTTTTTTTTCCTTGTATTCTTTACGTATTCTTTTTTGTTTATTTGTTTATTATTTATTATTTATATTCAATGCAAGCTGCAACAAATGCACCTATGGTACTTAGGTGTGATCGCAGTTATGTGTTCACCATGATGGGACAACAATCAGGTGACAGTTGTTTTGTTTACAATTTATATGTTGTGTACAACATTTTGATGAATTTTGAAAATTTGTAAAGTATACATTCTTATTAATTTTGCATAGATGCTTCTTTTTTCTTTTGATAATTCAGTTTATTATTTTGTCCAAGTAACTGTTGTCATATTGGAAAACGTTATAATGAGTTTAGTAAATTATAGCATAATGAAATTATTATCGCTTTATTATTATTATTATTTTGATTACTGAAAGTAGTTATATATCAAATTTTATGAAAAAAAAATATAAGTATATAAACAAATTAATAATAAGTATATATATATATAAATTGAACAGCTATTATACTCTATTATATAAATTACATTATTAAATAATTCGTGAAAGAAATATTTTTGTTGGCCTCGTTTTTATCATATTTTAATTAAATAAATTAATTAGATTCACAAAAACGTAATTGCTATATTTTTTTCAGATGATGGTGCAACAATGATGGAGGTAGATCATGAAACAAGGAAGGTTTACGTGGAACATATGAAACTTATTAGTGACGAAAACATACAATTAATGGAACCTTCCGAAGAAGGCATTTTAGCACGCCTTACGAATCCCATAGTCACTACATATATAGATACAGATAAAATTAGTTTTGAACGGTAAATATTTATTGTTATACATTATTATAATATTAATTATATTTAGAACATAATGTAACAAATTATACATATGTATATATATATATAAATACATATACTACTAGCAATAAAGCTGGTATATGGGGCTGGCGATCAGATAAAAGTGAAGTAATTAATGGACATGAATGTAAAGTCTTTAGTGCAAGTAATGTAGAATTAATAACAAAAACACGATTGGAACACTTATCAGAAGCTGATAAGGCAAGAGCACGAGCACCACGCACACCTCTTCAATCCTTTCTTGGTATCGCCGAGCAGCAACATGAAAATTGTAACGCTACAACCAGTGTAATTATTTACTTTTCCTTTTTATTTTTATAGCACATATATATGTATATAAAATTCAATAATAACGTCTTTATTGTTACTATTTTTTTTTAAATTTAATTAGCAAGAAGAATACAGCAATGTTGGTAATCCCTCTAATATAACAGCTGAAGAATATTTTGATCCAGATATTGACTTAAATGGAAGGGATATTGGAAGACCAAAAGAAATTAATACAAAAATACAGAAATTCAAGGTACAATTAACAATAAAATAGTAATGTCATATATTACATAAAAAATGCATATAAAAATTAACTTTAATTTAATGTTATTATTTTAATTATAGGCAACTCTTTGGCTCAGTGAAGAATATCCACTGAGTTTGCAAGAACAAATTATGCCTATTGTAGATTTAATGGCAATATCTAGTTCACATTTTGCTAAATTGAAAGATTATATACAAATGCAATTACCATCTGGATTTCCTGTTAAAATTGGTGAGTGTATTATCTATTTTTACGAAAGAAAATATAGACTTAAATTTTCTTTTAATTGCTTTGCATATTACAGAAATTCCTTTATTTCATATTCTTAATGCAAGAATAACATTTGGAAATATATTTGGTTTGGATCAAGAAGTACCACATGTAGGCCATTTACAAGAAACAAATCGTATGACATGTTTGGTGGATGATATTTGTTTTGAACCTCCTACTGGTTATATAAAACTTGGTAATTAGATGTTTTCGGATAATTAATATTTTATGTGAATATATATGTAATATTTTAAATAATTATTTATAAAATTAGGTGCTGAAGTTAGAACACAATTCAGTATTGAAGAAGAAGACGATTTATTACAATTTGCTATCCAGCAAAGTTTATTAGAGGCTGGAAGTGAACGCGATGAGGTAAGAAGTCTCTATAATTTCCTTCTCGTTATATATCTTATATACAACTGATTATTTTGTATATAGGTTGATATATGGGAAGCACTGAAAGCACAAAAACCATCTAGACCAACGACACCTAATATGTCAACAGAGGAAGAAAGACAACTTCAAAGGTATTAGTACAGAAATCGAATCAAATTCTATATTATTTGATTTATTTTAAATTATGTTTTCAGTATGTTTATTTTAAATGTATATGTACTTTGTTTCTTTAAGAATAATGTACTGTAATTAATTATTGCTCAAATCTAATTACATGAATTTTTTTTTAATTGAATATAGAGCTATCCAAGCTAGTTTAGTATTATATCAAGAAACTACTGCTAGCTGTGCAGAAGGACATAATAATATAGATGAAGCAAGAGCTAAGGAAGAAGACGATAGTGATTCATTAGAAAGTACAACAGAACAATTATATCTAGCATTAAAACTTTCAGAGCAACAGCAAATAGAAGAAGAACAACGACGATTGTTAGAAGAAGAAACATTTCGACAAGTGTTAGAATTATCCCTAACGGATAAGTGAACTTTTACAATCGATATAATGGTGATTTAAAAATTAATTACCTGATACTTCCAAAATGAAAATTCTTTCTGTCTCACGAGTACAAGGCTGTTAAATAGAAAGAAATATTTCCTATGATTCATAGATAAATTCCTTTTAAAAATAATAATGTTACTTACAATAATGAACGTTTGTTATTAAAGCATACATTAATGAAGGTCAACCAGTGGAAAACAATGTACTATTATATAAGTAAATGAATAATTTAAATTATGTTATTTATTCCTTAGCTACATTTTATATGAAATGAAAGTGAATAGTATAACAAATTTAGTAACAAAATCCATAAAACTGAGGTCTTGACAATTACAAATGCTCTTCAATTTAAACAAAACAAAAAATATATATATATAAATGCACGTTTCATACGCAATTCAATCGCAGTTAGAAACAATCATACAGTCCTATTACTTGAAAGTATATAGTGTAAGTTACAATAACTGTCACTATTTAAAATAAAAGGCATGTAATTCTCAAGTCTTCAAAATCACTTGTTTTCACCTTTCTCCTAATAACTTTAATATATAATATTATTACGATCTTCATTGACTTATCTTTATGAATATGATTATAATTATTAAAATACAATCCTGTGTTAACATGGGTAAGATAATATCAAAATTTAACAAATTAAAACAAAAAATGTGAAAATAATGTTTAATTAGATTTTAACATGTAAAAAATATCTAATTTAAATTAGTGTAACAATAATGGCAATCATTTGAATTTGTATATGTATATATATATATATATTTAAAAAAAAAAAATCAATATAAAATTATGAAGATCAAATTTGTGACATTTCATTATACTGATAAGGACTTCATTAGACCTTAAGAAAACCGATTTTTGTAAAACTACAGGATCGTAAGGGACTATTAGGACTTATACACTATGCAAGCAGTGTACTTAACACCCAATACTTAACCGTTACAAAAAATCGAAGGAAGAAGTTTTACTTGCATTCTTATGTAGCAGTTCGTTTCAAATAGAAAAATACACTTTTTAAAAAGAAACTATATAGAAAAAATACACATGGATAGATTGAAAATTTTTGAAAACTTTTTAGCCCTTCCCATGTTAAGCTCAGAATTTTTTAGCGCTCCTTGTATTCCTCTAGTGTCTTCTTTTGTTTACTGCTTGCACAGTGTATAATTTTAATGGACTTGTAGTACGGTGTAGTTTTAAAAAAATTAACGTTTTTAAGGTTTGATGGAGCCCTTATAAGACGTAATTACAAACATAATTATCAAAATATGTTGTGATAAAAATATATTTATACAAATAATATAAAGGAGAAATACAATTATTTTAATAATAGGATTCATTTAATGTTGTAGATATATGTTTGCTTCCAAATATTAAGAATATTTATATAATTGATAAATACTAATGCATAGTCTAGTCGTTCTATTATTCAAATTCTGATTGTGCCCTGGAAAAAAATTTAATTATTAAAATATTACACGATGCTTTCATTTAAATGAAATAAAACAATATGTACCTTTTAAATATAGTACTGAGTATTTGTTGGCCTTGTGCATAACGTTGTTCATTTTTATGCGCCTGCTGATGCCATTTTTTACGAACAGCATTCCAATGTATTCTGTGTTCTCTTAGTAATACTTCTCGCGAATTGAGAGTTTGTCCATCCTGATAATATTAATGAAACAGTATTTAAGAAACGTAAATATTATTGATATATATGCATACATTTTAAAATATGTAACATTATTTCTATATGATTAAATTTTCCTAACATCATTATCATTATAACTATTGCTTTATTTACTTACATATTCTACTTTGAGCTCTCCCTTTTCAAAAATAATTGGAGATGGTATACGATTTCTTGGCATTGCTTCTTCGCAAGGAAGAGGAGGAGGTAAATAATGAACATCTCGTATTTCTCCACTTGCATCCAATATATTGCTATTTTGATTACTTATTTCACTAACTATCTCAGGACTAGGACTACGTACTCTAAACAAGATAAAATATTATTAAAAAATCTATATTTGTTATAATAAATTTATATTTTTATTATATACTCACTTTGGAATAAGATTTGGATTTCTTGGTTGATTAGCCATCCAAGCTCTACAAATAGGATAGAGTGGCGTATCTTCTTGAAACTGAGCTAGATCTACGCTGCGATCAAATAGTTTCATCACATACGTATGATGAAATGCTGTATCCATTTGTATTTGTCTACGCCGCCTTATTTTTCTTGGTTGTTGAAAATGAATAGACCTCGTCCTGTACATGTTGTCTCTATTACAAAATGAATTTATATTGTATTTAAGATTGTGTATCTTTTAAAGTAAATAGTTAATTTTACATTTTTCTCATATGATGCCTAAACTCATGAGAAGAATTTTCTTCGCTTGAATCTGCTGATGAGTCTGAATCACTGCGATGCAATAGTTCTCGTAAAGCTCCTTTTAATCTATCTCTTGCAACAAGAACATCACTGTCTCCTATTATTTGAGATAGAATTAATTTATTTCATATACAAAAATATAAGAGATCACAGTTCTACAGGTATTTTGAAGACATCTTAGATATCTGCTAAAACGTATCACAGATTTGACATATAAATAATACTTATAATTGAAAAATATTTTATTATTACCTATTTCATCTTTTATTTCTATTTTAACACGACTTGGGGTAACTGGTAGAGGTTGACTATTTCGTTTCTTTCCCATCTACATACAAAAAAAACCATTTGCATGACAACATTCGATTCAATTTTTATATTTTTCAATTATATTTCTTACCTTTTTAAATATGAAAAAAACAACTATGTTATATGTATGTGCACATATATATGTATAAAGATCTAATCATTTAACTAACACAAATTTTTTGTAATTAGAGAGAGAAAGAGGTTAAAACTGATGATTATCTTCTTGTATAACACAACGGAAGAAAAATATTTTTAAGAAAATTGGAAGAAAATAATTTTACAATGTTTATGAGACTATATTTCAGTTCATTCAAACAATTTCAAATTACTGATATATAGCAATACAAGTTGTAATAAAAATGATCTTTATTATTTACATTATTTAACAGATGGAGAGTTTTGAATATAAAATTTAAGCAGATATTGATAAAAATAAATTGAACAAAAATTTTCACTTGTCACTGAATTTTTTCAATAATTATTTTTATTATTAATCCATCTATTAAAAAACAGTTGTAGCGAAAGTGCTCAGTTATCTGACCATAGACTATGAATTTTCCTCCACATAAACTGCTAATTATGATTTTTGGTAATTAACGAAAACACGTAGTTGGTAGCAAAGAGGTTTTATTTATTTGTACAAAATCACTGTATAATTATCTACTTGGAAAAGCAGATCTTTACTCTTTGAGATAACGATAAAGGAGGTTGAGTAAATCCTTTCCGCCTATCACACCTCCACAAAGCGACATGTGCTTGCGCGCCGTTTCTGTTGGTTGATTGTGGTGTGACTGTGTGGCCAATGAGATACCAGCGATCACCTCTGGTTGGTGTTGCATCAAAAGATTTACGTATAGTTGGACCATTTAGCTTTTTAGGTTTTATATTGTAAACTAAACTTAAGGAAGCATTCATAGCTTAACACATGTAACACGTGCTCTTTCGTAGAATGCATCTAACCACTATCCTTTATTAAGTGCAATATTTTATTTGTTTTTTATTTTTACAAGATGGGTAAAAATAAACGTAAGAGGAATAAATCATATACAGAAAATACTGCAAAACTTGTATCGAAAAATTATTTCGATAAATCAGTAAATTGTACAAAAAACAACGAAGAGGAAGGAATGGTGTACGATGAAGTATGTTTATTCATGAAAAATTTATTACTTATATATAAATCATTTAATTTTAATTATTTTTGTTAAAATAAGTTTGTAGTATTTATATTAAAATAATTTTACTTATCATTATATTACAAACTTCTAATCAATTTATTTGTAAATCTTTAACTCTTTGATCACTATGAACACATGTATGTGTTTTCATACAACCATTCAATATAGGCTCTTTCGTTGAAAGCATCTAACTACTATCCTTTATTAAGTGCAATATTTTATTTGTTTTTTATTTTTACAAGATGGGTAAAAATAAGCGCAAGAGGATTAAATCGTATACAGAAAATCCTACAGGACTTGTATCAGATAATCATTTCGATGAATCAGAAGATTGTATAAAAGACAGCAAAAAGGAAGATTTGCTAATGGTGTACAATGAAGTATGTTTATTCATGAGCAATTTATTACTTGTATATAAATCATTTATTTTAAATTATTTTCATTAAAATAAGTTTGTAGTATTTATATTAAAATAATTTTACTTATTAGTATATTACAAACTTCTAATCAATTTATTTGTAAATCTTTAACTCTTTGATCACTATGAATGCATGTATGTGTTGTCATACAACCATTTAATTTAGTAGAAAGCATCTAACCACTATCCAGTTTTAAATGCAATATTTTATTTGTTTTTTTTACAAGATGGTTAAAAATAAACTCAAGAGGAATAAACCGCATACAGAAAATCCTACAGGACTTGTATCAAATAATCATTTCGATGAATCAGAAGATTGTATAAACGAAAACAAGGAGGAAAAGTTGCGACTGGTGTACGATGAAGTATGTTTATTAATGAACAATTTATTGTTTATTAGTATATTAAAAACTTCTAATCAATTTATTTGTAAATCTTTAACTCTTTGAGCGCTATGAACGCATTATGCGTTTTCACAAAACCATTCAATTTAGATTATGAACGCATATGTGAGATCTCACACAACTATTCCATTTTATTTTGCAATGAAAATTCATTCTACCGAAGTTGCGTTCTTTCGTAAAAAATACGCAGCCAACGGTATGTTTCTTTGTAAAGAGTAAGCAATCCATGGCGCATACTTAATGTCGGACAATGCTACGCTCAAAGGGTTAAGAAGACAATATACAGTCTATTTATTATTTGATATATAATTTTATATCATAGATACAATCTTTGGCCATAGAGGAGAAATTATCTGGCTTACGAACTTTAGAATCTATGTCTTTTGATGAAGGTATGGCTGAACGAATAGCATCAGATGGTATTGCTAAAATGATTGGTCCTTTACTTGTTGATCATAACATAATAGTAAGAGCTGCTGTTGTAAGTGCTTTGAGACACATAGCTGAGAATGGTAAAGAAGGTACTATTACAAAATTTATTAACGATGACATCATGACCCCTTTATCTACTTTATTTGTAAAAGTTAGTATATTTATGATCACTTTAATATTTTGATAATTGATTTTTATATTAATGATATACAATTAGGATTACAGAAAATGGCAACCAAAGTTGGATCCTATAGTTGCAGAAAATATATGCGACGAAAAAGAAACATTTATTGATGCCGTTACATTGCTTTTAATCTTATGCGAAAACAATGAAATGGCTGTTAAGCATTCAAATAAACTGTGTCTTTTATCAATATTATTACAATATTTGAATGTTACCGCATGTGGAATAGAGATAAGCACTGTAATTGCACAGTGTATACTTACTCTATCAGAAGACAATTCTATTGCGATTGAAATACTTAAAGAGTATAAACAAGACTTATTAAATATATTAAATTTACAAGTTAGCGATAATTTGCCATTCTATGATCTAATATTACTGAAAACGTTAATAATTGGCATACTGCTGAATATGCATTGTTTTACTAAAAACAACGAAATTGATATATTTAATGAAGTTATGAAAATTTTATTAGAAACACTAGCTATAGATAATAATAGTTTATCGCATGACTTATGTACAATATTATCGACGGAAAACGGAATTTTATCCAAAGAAACTCTAAAAAAAATACAAGAATTCAAAAAGTTACTTGTAGCTCAGCAACAAACATTAGAAATTTTGACTAATTTATGTACAGACGAAGAAGAAAATGAACTGCTTTCTGACTTAGATGATTCGGATGAAATGAATGAAGAAGAACCTATGGATAAGGATGAGCCAAACGAAACTGATTTGTCTGGTATTATTTCATCATTACCGGTAGAAATAATAGAAATTATTACCAATTTTAATATTATAAAAAAAGTTTGGATCAAAACTGTAAATATAGATAATGAAATTCGTGAATGTTTTTCAAAAAGCATCGAAGGAAAAGCACTTTTAAAACAGATTTGTGTATTGAGATGTAGAGCATATTCATGCGCACATAATTTATTGTTTATTACAGATATTAATTCGGCAAATGATATGAAGGACTTATACGAGTAAGTAAATTATATTTTAATATTATATGATTGATTTTAAAGACTATTTTTTAATGTATATTTATTGTATACAGTATATGGTGTCAAACTGGAAAATTTGTTTTCGAAGATAAAAGTGAATATGATTTTGAATTATTAGATTCAGCAACTGCTGTTCTAAGAGCTTGTCTTCAAAAACTGGCTAAAGCACAAGAAAATTATTTTTCTAACTTAACAGTAAAAGATATTAACCCAATGTTGTATTGCGATAGGCTATTTTTAAATAAAAATGTTGGTGCTAATGTAATAAGAATTTTTAAGCACTTAGCTTTGCTTATAGCTCAAACTGACACTCAACATAAATATGAGTTAATGAAGGTAGGAATTTATAATTATTATTAAATTAATAAATCATTCGTGAAAAATAAGAATTTTGTTTTTTTGCTTTTTTGTTTTTTTAGTACATGAGTGTATTTATATTATTAACATGTCGAGATGAATCTTGCGCGTGGATCAAAGCAGAATGTTTGGATGCGGTAATGGATATATTCTCTGATGATGAAACGGATCAATTAGCAGTAGAACTTTCATTAACTAGTACATTGCCGTCACTGGTACAAGATTTTAAAGAAAGGGTAGGAATCATTTACATCATTATTTAAATACAAATAATAACTTACGCATAACATTTAATATCAATTATTGCAAATTTAATAGGTTCGTCAACAGAAACATCTTTTAAAAGATAAAAGTGGCATAATATCTACGGTAAATGAAAATATTAAGAGATTTATAAAATACAAAATAAAACGTTGGAAACTTCTTCAATGAACAGAAGAAAATAAAATACTATATACGTATATGTATATAAAACCGAAAAAGGAGAATGTCAAAATTCACATGGTTGCTTTGTTAACAAATACCAAATATGTCGGTGAAAGACCGAATATTTGAGTTTATTCTTATACATTAATATTTCGGATATATACCAAGCGATCATGCGAATCTTGACATTTTCTAATTTCCACTTTTATGGTAATATATATATAATAAAAAAACAAACATTTTGTTTTTTGATATTCCTTGAATAAAAACATTACATTTTTTAATTCGTATATATTATATTTATATAATTAACATTATAAGTAAATTTTGTTTTCTTTACAATTAGTATAGGTCAATGATATTCGATAAAAACAAATTAATGAAGATGATAGAAAAAAAAATTTTAAATATATGAGATGTGATGAAAGAGCAAATATCGAATAGTATCATGTTATTTATTTAAATTTTATATTTTGTAAATAAATAATGGAAATATCAACAAAAAGTATAGGTAAAATGTCGTGGTGCAACCAATAGTACTATAATTACATAATAATCGTATGATCACAATATTATAGATCAAAAGAAATTGAAACGCTGGCTTCTAAATAGATAATACATAAATATATAATTATAAGTATTCTAATTATATATGTGAGATTAATATAGATATTTATCACAATATACATTTTAAAGCACGAATTAAAGGCACATATATATTATATTTATACGATTACTTTTATCGCTCTCGCATTGCAAATTTATCCATTTGTTCTTTCATTCATCGAGAGTAAAAGGTACACAGAAGTTACATATTAATTACCAATGAATTGTTTATACAATTTTATACTACTAAATCATGCTTAAACAGATTTCCCTCTTTTATCGAAAGATTCGGAATTTCTGCTTCTTTCTCTTGGAATTACGGAACGTTCGAAATCATTGTGACTCAATGAAACGTGCCTTCTAGGTTTGGGTATAGGATTAACATCATCCAATATTTCTGGTCTTTGTCTGATCGGTTCGGAAATGTGTAATTCGATAACTTTGACTGGATCTTTAGGTGCTTCAACGGGTACAGGAGAATCTGTTAATTTGATAACATGAATATCTTTTTGTTCACGTGGTAATTCTTTAAATTCTATTTTAACACCATCTTTATATTCTTTGGTATCAACCATGTTTTGAAAAAAGTGCCTACGATTTGCTAAAATGGATAATCTAGTATTAGAAGTATGATCCGCTGTTATATCGTCCGTCGAATCTTTCGATGAATTTTTCGATTCTAGAGCTTGAATTTGTTTTTCTATTTTTTTTATTTCCTCTTGAACAGAAAAACTTTCCTCTCGAGATAATCTATCGGCTGAGTTTTTTCTTCGTATACATACTTCTAATTCAGTTTTCGAATTAATTTCATTTATATCTTTTATTATTTCTACCTTATCCTCTTCCTTTCTACAATATTCGATAACAACGTTATTATCCTTATTTGTTTGATTTTCTTCATGACTAGTCTCCTTATTGCAAGGCTCTTTGATTTCTTCTTTTTCTTCTTTTTCTTCTTTTTCTTCTTTTTCTTCTTTTTCTTCTCTTTCTTCTCTTTCTTCTCTTTCTTCTTTTTCTTCTCTTTCTTCAACAAGTGACCTCTGGTTTTCTTCTGATTTTACATTTTTGTCATCGCTTTTTATGTTTTCCAATATGATAGGTTCTTTAACAATTTCTTCAGACTTTTCAGTAACATTTTGTGTAATGGTTTCGTTTTTGGAAGTTAACTGAACACTACTTTCTTTATTCTCCTTTGAAGTTTCTATCAATTCCTGATTTCTTTTTGTCATTTCATCAATATTCTCCGTGACTCTACTGATGTCGATCGATTCGGTAATTTCCGATTCTACATTCGAAGTATCCGGTGTTTGTTTGATTTCGTTTTCCTATAAAAATCATTTCGATTAATTAATTATACGTCAATGTTTACAATAAATTGTAATTGGAATAAAATCCCTTAAATTGCCTAAACCGGCCAATTTTCGCATGCTCGAGTTAACTTGAGCGGCGTTGTATTCTATGCTGCTATAAAAATTTTGATTAATTTTGTATTTTTTTAACTTTTTTGCCAAAACAATTTTTTAAATTGTATTTTTTTACATACAAAAAATTGATTCTTTTTGGCCGGTTTTTTTCAAAAAAATTGTGCGTTAAGGGGTTAAAGCCCATTGTGATTGGCAATGTGTTACGTTTACGCAATGCATGTTGCATATCGTAAGGGGCTTTAAATTCGTTTATTGATAAACAACATTCGCAAGTGACATTATCGGCAGTGTGTAAAGTGTTATCTATATACAAGAGTAATAGAAAATATTTGAATAAAAAAATTGTAACAAAATATTTCTCGATCCTCGAATTAAAAAGATTTGACTATAACTATACCAATGCGTTGATTCAATAGCTAAAATTAAATTATAAACAAAGTTAAATGTAACGCGACGACAATGACGCGACGAAAGTTTATTTTTAGTCAGTAAAATTTCCAAACGATATTTTCATTTTGTTCACAACACATTCGATAAAACTTTGATGTTTTTCCATTTAGCGAACTCACCTCTGGAGTTTTCAATTGTTCTGCACGTCGTGGTGGCTGTGGTGCCCTACGTTTTTTCCGTCCATAGCCACTAGCTGTGCTACCAATGGATACACAACTGTTTATAGATATGTTCGATCTTCTTACAGAATCCTGTCCAAATCTTTTAAAAACATAGTCTTCAGGAACATTTTCGTTTTCATCTCTCAACGTAACGTCACCCGATCTGCTAGTTTCTTCTTCCAAATCCAAGTTACTCATGTTTAACCTCTGCGATGATCTGGTAGCAGACCTTCGTCTGAACAAAGAAAAATATGTAAAGAAAGATTTCATAGAATGAGTTATATATTTAATCGTACTCGATTGTGTATCAATTTCTTACATCGGTGGTACTGGGGTTTTTTCGAATGATGTTTCACGCAACGTGACCGCCCCATTTTCTTTCGATTCTTTATCTTCGAAATTTAATGGTGGTATCTTATCAGTCGGTCTTGGACTTACTTGTCCAAATCTACTTCAAATAATTTTCATATTAAATATAAAATAATTATAAATATAATACTGACAAAGAGAGAAAATAATTAATTGACAAACCTTCTAGCTGGTGCTTTAGGAGTAAGATCACCCATAATGGACGTTGTTGTATCCTGAGGACTACCATCATAGATTCTTGCAGGATCTCCGTTGACTGTAAGACTAGAGCTATATCTGGAACCACTATTGTCCATTGTGTATTTTCTTCTTCTAACAAGAGTTCCTAAAGCTTCATCAAATTCTTGTTGATCTTTTGAAATTCGTGACGGTGCTATCGGCCTATCGAATGGTTCTCTTTTATAAGCAGACGAAACTAAAAGTTTGTAATTTTTATCATCAACATAACGATACAATCTTACATCTTGATTATTTATAATATTATTATTGTGTAAATTATAAAACTATATAAAATATACCTGTACGCAAATGTACCTGTTATGATCGTCGATCTTTTCTCAGCTTGATCCGGTTCCTTCCGTTTACCAAATAATCCGTTCCTGTGATTTAAAAAAATAAATTGTAATACGTTATTTGAAACATTCTGATATCTTAAAATAACAATCTATAGAAATATTGATCGAAAAGTTAGAAAGAAACAAGTAATGAACATATTACTTAGTTAGAAAGAACAAAGTAATGAATAATATTGAAACTCAAATATATGATTCGTTAAGACTCGTAATCTAAAAATAAATTCATGATATAAGTTCGAACTTTGGCTCAGAATTCGTCATTTTTTTCCTGCGTACGAGATTTTATATATATATAATCGTTTTTTTTTTCGTATATTTACCCGATGATAATTACGTCTGATAAACGCGAGAAAAGAAAGAAGTCTTATCTAAGACGAAGGCGAATTCTACTTTAAAAATATTGGCAATTATAATCGATAAAAAATTTAAATGGGAAAAAAAAGAAATCTCAAGTAGATTTTAAATCAAATATTTTCATAAAAATGTAAATATAAATATTAATAATTTATATTAATATTAGAAATAATTTAAATATTAAACAAAATCTTGTAATAAAATATTCAAATAATACATTTGAATAAAATATTGATAAAACTTGTCTACAATGTTTACTGTAAGGAAAACTAAAAGATTAAGCGAGTAATCGCTTCGTCATATATATTACGAACGAAGAATGACGTCATGAATAATAACATAATCTAACTTTACTCACTGATACGAATACTGTCGAGTATTTCAATGTGTCGAAAAGAGATAAACAAATCGAAAAGAATGATCTAAGAAAGGTAAACAAATCGATTGTATTTTATCAAGAAATTTGTTCATTTATCTGTCAGTTGTTTCAAAGAAATAATGCATTGAAAACGTAGCAAATTCATGGGCACTAAAATTACAATGATTGCGATCATCCTCATTCCGTATAATAAAGCTTCCTATCTATACCGTTCTAATCGTACGTCATAATAATCGGCAATGAATTTTCAATTTTCAAATTATTCCTGCTCGCTTTTCAAAAAATTCGAATAAAATGTTAAGATATATTTTATAAGAATTATGTGGATAACGTATTTTCGTTTTTACTAGAAGGTCGCTATGTAAACGATAGGAAGAGTTAAGTAAGCAAGTTATTTAAAAAACTTGACAACACTGACGCATAATAACCAATCTTACTGCATTTCTAAACTTGTAATACGAGTACGGAATAAAATATCTGCCAACAGGAGGAGTTTTAAAAGGAGTTTTCTAAATATTTTCTTTTGCTATTATTCATTATGCAATATCTTAATAGTAAACGTCAGTTTTTTTTTTAGGAATAATTTTACTAAAGATAACATTTACTGTGGTTAATTTGAATCAAACATTTGATATAAATCTTATTTAGAACAAAAAACGTTTAGTTTTTTTTTTTATACAGATCTTAATAGGTTAAATAGTCGGATTAATTTTTTTTGCCAAGTTAGAATCGACAATGAGAGATGAGGCATAGTTCAATGTGACGTTTACAGTTCGCTATGCAACATTCGGTTATTTGTATCCTTTGGGTTACGGCCAAATGCAAATATTGCTATTTAATTCACGTGTATGTAGCACACCATTACTTAGGTTCAAGTTCAACAAACTGATACCAATATTTCAAATTTTTTCTTTGAATTTATTCAGTAATATAATTCAATTTAAATACACACGTATATTGAGTTAAATATCTGCTATCGGAATTATAACAATTTCATTGGATTAATTTAACAACAATCAAGGTTCTTATTAATATGCTTGTAAAGAAAAACACGTCTACGTGGAATACAAATTTATTCCTTAGTAATAAAAATCGTTAAACGTATTTTACGTGACCCGGTACTGATAAGGTTCAGTTTCACGCTTGGCTTAACAGAGTTATGCTATGAAAATCATTAATTAAGATTTTTAAACAAAGTATCGTGCTATTATAAGATAAGAAAAGATCTACATATATATATTTATTTATTTTCTATTTTACCTACCATGTCGATTTGATGGAAAAACTGTTCGACCTTTTTTTCCTGCTTCTTCCGAAGGTCCAAAATTTATGTTTTATCTCTTTGGCCGAGCTCTTGCTATTTTCACGCTGCAAACGTGGATGCGAGGTAGGAGGGTTTGTAGTGTCGTCATTGAAAGGATTTAGATGCTCCGGATAATCGTAAATGGAAACGCTTGGACGCCTCGACATGATTTACACTTCTACTATGTTTCTCTGATTTTTATTTTTTTTTTTTTCTTCACTTCAATTTATTCGCCTTTACCTTTAAAGTGATAAGATTGTTGACTCGAGAACTGTCCAGTTAATTCATTGAGTTCTATTTATCACTTCCACGTTACTATACTTTACGTTCTGAAAAATAAAAGAAATATTTGTTATTTTAAGCATCATTTTTGATTCGATAAATCATTTTTAATTGAAGAGAGATCTTAACTCTTTTCTCTGAATATTATACTTTTATAAGATCTAATTATTATTATATGTTGACATAGAGAAATCAATTTAATTAAAAATTCTTCTGCGGGATCCATCTTGCATTACGAATAAAGTCCACGTTTATTTTTAACGCATTACGCGAACTTAACGGTATGGAACCCGATGTCCGTTCGAACTAGTAGGAATATTATTTTTTTCCTTTCTTTTCTTTTTTTAAACTACGAGGTAGCTAACTTTGTGTCGTTAAAACAATGCCTCACCGATGAAAATAAAAAAAGGAAAGAAATTTTTTAACGATATTATTATATGTCTAACTAAGCGCCAGTAACGTCTCTGTTATCTTTTACCCTGGATTTTTATTGATAAAAAATGGAAAAGAATACTTTGCGAGTTCTATATTGATAATATGAAGAAAAGAGAGAAGGAAATAAAGAAAAAACTGGGATAAGAAAATATCATACTCATAGATAAAATTCATAGGATATTTGTAATATATTTGTCTTCGTATATATTTATAATAAATTATTTTTTCTCCCTATTATCTCTATATAATAATAAATTATTAGATTAACTATTAGATCGACTAATATTGACAGGATAATATTTAACTTGTTAGATAATATTGACTTTCATTTTGTTGACATTGGATCTTCTGAAAGAAACGAAATAAGGTTAACATTTACAGCGAATTAATATCGATCAAACAAAGATTGAATTTTCTACGTAATTCTCATACATTGCGTATATATGTATATAGGTTCATATATATATATAGAGAGAGAGAGAGAGAGAGAAAGAAACAGAGTTGTTAAAGTACAATTGGTGGTTCAAATCGAACGACCTGTGTTTGACCAATTGAGAACGACTGAATACCGATATTTATGCACCAGTATGAGGTTTATAGGGAGTTAATATGCTAAACATCCCATTGAAATCTTCGTAATAGTAGCATAACGTTAACTTGATCAACAAATCAACGATTCTAGGATTAAAAAATTTAACGAAATCAGAACAAAGAAGAAAGTGTTTATATGAATATTTAACATTCGATATAACAATAATTGTTTTCTTTGATTGCAAGTATATATATGAGTATATATACTCATAAAAAATATATATGAATTCTTATATACATAAAAAAAATTCTTAAACTATCGATCGTAAAAAGAGGACACACGTAATACACATAGGTATGTATCATGTGAATCGATGGTCGTGAAGACGAACTAACAAACGCAATTAGTTCAATTAGTTCAACGCGTTCGCAGTTCGTTTATGATCTCGTGTTCTCTGTTCGGATAGACAACTGTTTAAAAACACTTAACAACGTTCAATGTTCTTTCAATTATTCCCTATTTTTCTTCTTCATTTTTTGTTCATTTATTTTTGTTGAATTGCATGTTTCTTCATCTCATAATTTGAGTAACAGCAAGCATTTTTTCTCTAGAACGACTAACTGAAAGACCATGTTATCTATGATTTCAAGATAAGCCTTTATCCCTCACGAAAATTCTACCGTGTTATCTATCGAGTGCGTTATAAGTTCGATGCTTGCAACGTCCTTTTCGTGAATTTCTCTCTTCTTCTTCTTTTTTTTTAATTTTTTGTTGTTGAAGTTTTATATTCCATATAGATCTTCGTTAGCATCTGGTTCGCATATTCGTTATTAATTCTTTATGTTATTTCTTCGATTGAGAAGTAATGAGCGACATATGGCACTAGATAAAGTACTGAACTTCGATCAGACTCCGCGGATCATTAGCATTCTAATTGCACGAAGATATAATCGACTGGGATAAAATTATTTGCTAATTAAACGATCATCGAAATCGTCACGATGAGTTACCAACCTAACTGGAATATTTATACACGCTTATAATGCACATTTAATGTATGAATACATCATACTTATTACATATTCGCACAATGAACAAAGAACATGTATCACCTTTCTAATGTGCGAAATGACGAATATATGCAACACTGTTAAACCCAACAGAAAAGAACCGAAGGTGTGTGTAAGTGTAACTAAGAAAAATGATTAGAATAGAGTTGGTAAAAAAAAAATCTACGGTATCAGCGCTATTGTTGGTGTATTTTGTTTTTTCTTTTTTATTTTTTCTTCGTTAAGTTAGGTAAGTTACGACGTTAGAATAAAAAGATTTCTTTCTGATGTCGCGATAACTTGGGAATTTAATATTTGTTTAGAGAATAGATCGATAAGTTCGAAGCTTCTTCGAAAGCACGAAGAAGTTCGTGCAGCAGTCTTATCGAAAAAACCGATCGATTCTTCGCGCCATTACATTTATGGATTAAGTGGTATGCGAAACTCGCGCCTATATAAACGTGAAATGCCTTTCGTCAACAATGAGATTAGATTAAATCCTCTTTGCGCAATCAACTTTTGTCTGTAGGATCTTCACAGTATCGAGTTTGTTAGAAAATGGCTGAATTGGTTTAGTCGAACTGTATATCGAATTTAACACATGTCCATGTTAAACATTTTGTATATGTAGATGAGTATATTATGTCGAGTGAAAGTAAGAAAAAAAGATAATATAAAAATGAAGATTAATGTGATAACTATGATTAAGAAAAGACAAACGAAAAAGATATATCTAGAAGATCTACTGGTGTATTAAGCCCTGAGAAACTTTATGGCACACTTCCAACGATACCACGTTGAACTAAATTTTTTTCAGAATATTTCGGGATCTCGAACGATTTACGAAATTGTACAATGATCCCGGACTCTCCTCGATTTTTATAAATTAAATTTGATATCTCTTACAACCATGGAACTTTACATTTACTGGCATAAAACATTGCCACGTTTCTTTTCATCTTTGCAATATTAAAAAATATCATTCCCAATGATTTATGACTATTGAAAATGATGTACATCTAATTTTATGATAGTGTAAACAACAAAAAAGGATAGAAAAAGTACTTGGTAATACTCTGTGTTTGGTTACATCGATCAACCCAATAACGTCTTGCAATTCTCCCGTATCTTTACGAAATCACGATCTCACAATTTGTAGACACGCCACACGAAAACGAAAAGTCTTTTAAACGGTGAAAATATTTCGCGAAAGCTTTCGTGACACGATCCTAACATAAGTAAGTCACGTAGGTATTATACACATATCAGGGGTTCTCAAAAATTCAAGATTTAAAATTTCATAAAAATATAAAGAAAAATTTATTCTCGTATCTGCGTTGTTCTTTTCTTTTTTTAATCATCGAAAACTCGTGTCGATAAAAGGCTAAAAACTCTAGTCCAAAAGCTCATTGTCGTATCTAATTTTATCTAGCGACCTTTTGATTCATCGTTTTATTTCTATTTTGAATACCTAAGATCGTAGTTCATCTCTCGATGAAATGTACTTCAAATTTAAATTTAAAGCTTTTTTGTTTGACTGTGTTTTCTACGCTAAATTATTCGATTTTTATTAGAGGATTCCAAACAATTCGCAATAAGTTATCTCAGTGAACTACAATCGCGGTAAAGAATATAAATGTATATACTTTTATATGTATCACGCGAGTGAGAGACTCTGTTCTGTATAAAAATAGAATCCTAATATACACCCTTAGCTGGAGGTCGAGCGATCGAAAACGAATTCGGAAATAATTTTACCGCAAATGAATTCCATCTCAACCAGTCGTGTTCTTAATGACTTTTTACAATATTCATAAGTCGAATGACCTAAAAAGTTTTTATAGTTCCTGACGATTGGCGAACAAGCAACTAGATATATAGCACACGATTCTCTTTCCTTATATAAATTTTTACTTGATGGGAGATAACAACTCTTATACGTTAAAAACAAATCATTTCTCATGACAGACTTAATGTTTTATAGAAAATCTTATCAAACGTTTGCGTATTATTTTCTTATTTTTACGAAGCTTCGCTTTGATTTATCGTTAATATGTATAAATGATAATATTTGTAAAAAAGTAGAATTTTTTAGGATCTTTCGATCGTCGTAGCGAGCTTAATACATACATTAAAATAAACTATGGAAAATAAATTGTATTCTAAAGAAAATTGAACAAGACTGTTCTGCATCTTACATTAAATGATATCGGAATAACTCTCTTTTCTCTTTCACTTTGAACGACACAGACATCAATGATAGGAAGAAAGAGTAAAAGGCTGGTCCTTGAATGAAACGAAGGACGTTTCTCATTAACAAAAAAAAAACATTTCTATGAAATGACGCTATTCTTTATTAAAAAGATCAATTATAAGAGGATCATATTCCCTCGTAAGAATTATATTTTATTTTTTGCTTGTAGACCGTGAACAAACGTAAAGTTAATTTATTCGTTTAATTTATACGCGCGTATAAGGTTTGTTTGCCGAATAAATTAATTTTTTGCCACGTAAATAAGTATATGCACATGTATATAAGAATTATAAAATTAAATTAGACGATTTTGTACTACTTTTTCAACGTTAATGATTAAATTCATTATTGGATCATCGTAGACAACACGTGCACCAATGAAATAGCGTACCAAGAGGAAGAAAAACTTTCACAGCATCGATTTAACGGATAAAGTTACTACTGCTACGTCTTTACACTAACATAAGTATATATATATATCGTTTAAACAAAATACATAATGCAATTGCTAGTCATTCTTTTTTATTTATTCCACATGTTCAAAGACCTTTTCGTGATAAACTACCGAGTACATAATTTAATCTACGAATAAATTAGTCATCTTGAGAAGTACTATATATTTAACTATTGAACCAAATTCCATTCAAAGTTATCACGTGTAAATATATAATATAGCGTGATAACGCGTTGATCAAAGAACAAGATGACAACTTGGGAACAAACTTCAAATTCTTTGTCTTTTTTTTCTTCCATGCTTCTTCTCAGATTTTTACGCTATGACGTCTATTAAAAATAATTTCGAAATAATCGAATCGAAAAGAAGAATATCGTAGATATATAAATAACTATGTGTTTTTTCAAGAATATAAGGAAAACTTACGTAAGTGAATATATAATTTATATTTAGTATCGACACTTAGATAAGAAACCAAAAAAACAGGTAAAACTCGTGTCGATTTGCAACACCACAGAATAGGAAACACTTTATGAGGAATGACCTTGTAGTTTTAAAAATTGTATCGCGGTAGAAATTTCGCGTAATGTATAAAAGATTTATAGTTCGTATGTAACGTAAAAAATGGAAAAAGAAATAAAAATGCAAGAGACACGATCGCGATGAGGTATACCGCGCGACTATCTATCACTTGACTATCGTACAACTCACGTCGAGAGTGTTTGGACTCGTGAACCTTCGGTTCTTGTTCGGTCGTCATCGAATCGCTGTAAAAGCTCAACACTATAATGTCACTTTTTATTGGAGGAGCTCAAGATAGGACGACAAGTTTGAAATTTCAAACTGTTTTACAGCAAATTATTACTGCGTTATATTAAATAAATCATTTAAGTATATTGTTCAATATGTAGTGTCGATAATATCAAACGAATACGAAGAAAAGTGTTTATTCAATTTGTTAGAGATTATCATGGAAGTTCTTATGTACAGATAACGTGTTTGATATAAATGGAAATATACTTGTTATATTTTTTTTCGTTCTTGTTGTTTTTTTATTGTTTTTTTGTTAACAATTAGTGAACAAAAAACTTGTTGATAAAATATTGCTATATTATTAAAAATAATTGTATAATTATTAAAAAAAAAATGTTCGTTGTGCTGACTAATAATAACAAAATGCACGTGTATGAGATGTAGATTTGTCAGACTTGTGTAGGCGTTATGGTTGCTGTCATAGAAAGTTGTGTGAAAAATATCATGACACGTGGGCATTGCATTGCGTTATACATACTTCGATTTACGATAGAAAAATTACAAGTTTGCAAGTATACCAAGTATACCTACTAAGTTAGTAGTTAGGGTGAAAACAGTAAATTACTAATACTTAGCAGGATACCTGAAGAACTTTGATCCTTCACGTATCCATTATTCTTTGTAATAACATTTTATCTTGCAATCTAACTTGATTTCATTATATATGAGAACTTTATCGTAATAACGATAAGATAGGTCTTATCAAACTTCTTTGTTATAAAAAAAGGGAAGAAAAAAAGAGAAAGATATAAAAAAGTGTATTTAATTTCATGAAACATTTATGAGATTTTATTTAATTTTAAATACATACCGTTTAAACAATTCTTTCTTGGTCATTAAGAAAAAATACTTTTTAGTGGAATAAGTGTCAAGCATCTCTTCGCCAACTCGACCCTGAGGCATGACTTTAAAAGGACGACAAGAACTTCTTTTGATCATTAGATTTTATTATAGCATAATTCAAGCATTGTGAGAGAGTATAATGGAGATGGCTTTCAAGAGTACTGTCGGCAATGAGAACACCGATTTGAAATAATTATAAAATGATCTCGATGCGGTATGATATAGAAAGTTCATTGTACCCGAACCTTTCATAACAATTTCTAGATCCGTCTAATCGATCGAGCTAGAACCGTAACCTCCCACGACTTACTAATTGACCATAACATTTCATCTAATTATATTATTTTTCTAATGTTATCGTAACCGATGAATACCAATCATTTCAAATGAATAATTCATAGAAATCACGGTCATTACACCCTACCAACATTCCCTGCTAATATATTATATCAATGATTTGTCAAGTATTTTTATTAAAAGATTTTTCTTATTTTTTGGATTCGCTAATAGACAATAAACAAAAAGTTTATTGCAATCATTTTTGAAATACTATCCGAGCACTTTGGAAGATTTTCTTGAGACGTTTCATAGTGTATTTATATCACATCTACTATTGTTTGCAATCGAATTATATGTATCGTATTACATTAATGGAAGGATCCGTGATGTGACCCATTTGCATGGGCTTGGCTCAACTACTCAAGACTGACCGCGTTAAACTACCTTATCAAGTGCAACATCCATTAGTATCTGTGAAACGAATCTTAAACGACTACACGCTTAATATGTCTTATAAAATAACACATATTTTGGCTCCGTTATATTGTATGATTTCTCCCGTACAAACTTTTTTATAAAAATAAAAGACTGTGACGAGTTCGCAACTCTTTTTTATTTGATAGAAAAAAAATAAAATATGAAAAGCGCGCAAAATCTAAAAAGGTCGAACGAAAAGCGCCGTCGGTGTCATCGGTGTAATAATTGTTATGTAACATGGCGTAGAAATCGAGACCAGACACTATGAAGCACGAATACGTGACTCTGTCGACGGCCACGATAAGTGACACGATATGCAAATTTAAGTGGAGGAAGATCCGTTCGTTTAAATGCGTCGAAGGTCTCACTTACGAGCCCACGCAAATTTTTTAAACTTTGTCTTAAGGATCAGTTCCGCGAGTGTTGTCATTAAAATATACTTCAATTAAAGGGATTAAATGATAATATAATATTTAAGAAGAAATTTTCTCGTCAAAAGAAAAAATTATCTATAATTTTTTATTCGTTTAACATATGTTTTTTCATACTTGATACTTTATTTTATTTTTTGGTCTTGTTTAAAATTTGATACATGTACATCTAAGACGTACATAATAAAACGCGTTCATTTAACAAAGTTGATAACAAAAACTTGACATTAACGTGTAAAATTAATAAAGTTACTTACCCATATTTTGTCTTTTTTCTATGATTCCTCCGCATACGAAACAATCTATCAAGATTAATTTTTTCTTAAACATCGAACTTTTAATATATTGGCAATTAATATTTCACCTTCTAAATATTAAAGCGATTTTTCATATTTTAAATTAATATAACCGCGCTTATTTTTTAAATATCGAAATATATCGATTTAAAGAAAGATCGTCATCTAACGGTATATTTTAGAACTTTTTATTTTTCGTTCTACTCTGTAGGTATTGCAAATATCAGCTTAGTTGTAGCCATCTTGCATTTATTATTTCCCTATGTTCAGCGATCCCATTCGTACGATAATTTGAGGCCTTGTACGATCCAAAATTTATGGTGTACGATCCAATTTGGAATTTCGAAAACATGATGACCTTTTTTTTAGGCTCGTCCGAGAAATTATCGGATTTCAAATTTTCCCGGGGCGTACGATAATTTTCCGGCGCGTACAATAATTTTACGCCCCTGTGTCGATCAGACGAACTAAAGTCTCTGGGATCACTGCCTATGTCCGATTTTATACTTAATCGGAATTTGAAGTTTCTGTAAAATTTCTAACCTCTTCTGCAACGAATGTTCCGGTATTTACTAGTTTAAAATTCATTCATTCGTGTTAGTACTTATTTAACCTAGTAAAAATAATATGATGTCGCGTTCAGTGCGAGCAGAGACTCGTAGCCGTGCTAAAGATGACATTAAACGTGTAATGCAAGTTGTTGACAAGGTTCGCCATTGGTAAATGTTTTAATAAACTGTATTTTATGTGTGTTGTTTATGAAGAAAAACTATCATATCTTTTGCATATTGTACGTAAGAAATTATTTCTTATTTACAATCCATTATCCAATGATGGAATAAAATAAATTTTATTCTCCAAAATTTTTAATCAAAAAAGGTTTTTTTAAAACATATAGCATAATTTATCTGCAAGATTAGATGTTATTTATTAAACAAAGTTTAGATTATGCTTGCATCACATTTTCAGCTTATTTATGTAAAAAAAAATAATATACAATTTATATGTGTAGGGAAAAAAAATGGGTAACGATAGGTGAAACAACTATGAAAATTTATAAATGGGTACCAATTTCGACTCTTGATCAGGTATCATAGTTGTATTGTTATAAATGTACAATAGAATGATTCTCTATTCAAAATAAATGAAATATTTTTTAGAAGAAGAAGGGAAAAACTGGATCGGATAAAGAAAACGGATTACCTAGGAAAGGTGGAATAGATAATTCTAATTCAAATTTTGGCCTAACAGAAGACTCAAATACATGTAAGCAAACTAATTTTAAATAATATGAAAGTAAATGATGAAGTTATTATTAATTAGTAAATTGCATTTATTATTATTATTATTATTAAATTGCATTTTTTTCGAATGCAACAGGTTTTTCAACAGTAAGTGATTCTCAAGGATTGACTGATTTCTCAACACATTTAGGATTTTCTGAAGATTCTAATTCTCAAAATAGTGAACCAACCCCTAAGAGGTTAAAGACTGATTAAAATTATAATTATATTTATAAATCGAAAAAAATAAAATGTTTATTCATTTTTTAATTTCACAAATTTTCATATAACGAGTTTAGGTTGAAAAAATAGTCTCTTAAATATATGAAGTAAATTGTATTTAGAGAATTCTATACTTCATAATTTTATAAATAATGGATTTACAACACGAAGTGTTCTTTAAATGAATGGAAAAAGAAAAGTAGGAAAATTTTTGTTACTAAATTTCATTCATATCTAGGGAGACATTAAATAATGTACCATACAAGAAATTAAATCTTGAAAACATTTCATATTATGTATAGTAAGGTTTATTTTTTTACATATAAATTTACTATCAATTTTCTAAGTGAATTTAAATGTTATGCATTAATAATATTTTGATTTAGTGAAACAAGTTTTATTGATAATGAATGTGCAATCCATTTATTATTTATTTCAAATATTCTGGTAATAATAATAATAATAATAATAATAAATGTTTAAAGAATTTTAAATCATGGAAGTAACAATTTTATATTAAATGTATTGTACATTCAGAAGTGTTTCAGTATTGTATTGATTTTGCAAAAAAATTTATGTTTGTATAATTCGAATGGTGCGCTTAAGAAATCTTTTTTAAAAAGGTTGTCATCTTTTTTTATGTAAAATATTATGTAAATTATATCTTGACATGTAGACACATACGCATATATATTATTTTTCAAATGAATTCTAATGCAAATTTACTATTATACTTCTTCATTGTACATATTTCAAACATCGCATTACATGTCGATTAAGATTTTAAGGTCACTTGCATTCCTTCACATTTTATTATAGCACCGTGACATGTACAAAATAAGCTCTTTAACTCTTATAAATAAATAATGCAAATCACATGTATCATCCATGTTTTAATAGGATTTTCAGATTATGTATGTACTCTAACGAAATTGTTTATATTGATAATTAATTTTTAAATAATATTTATATATTGATTGAGACTTAGTTATTGGCACATTAAAAGTTATTTAAATTAAATAATTTAAACAACTTTATAATATTGTAGAATATTCATATATATTATTTTTAAGAATCGCACTGTAGAATGTGTATAAAAACGTATATAATTGTAATGACCAAAAACTGACAAGTAACTGCCCTTTTAAAATTCTTCTGCGAGTAACAAAATGAAAAAAACTTTAACTATATTAAACATACATGGTTAATAAAATACAAAGCAGAAGTTAAAAAAAAAATATATATATATATATATACATATACATATACATATGAAAGTAATAACTATCTTGCAAAAGCATACATTCGAGGATAAAATAATATATCTATATACATATAATTTAGTAGTACGTATGTCTTCTTAAGTTTATATTATTTCTTATACTTTCATAATCGAATGGAAAGGTGGTATGGCTCAATATTCGTGTTGTAGTTATTAGTATATTTTTGGATCAAAAGTTACCATGGCAATGTAGTACCATCGTATTGAAGAAAAGAACCAGTATGTTTATCTGAGAGCATTTTCATAACATTTAAAATATTGGAAATACTGGTATCTATATCCATAGGTGCATTATTTCCTCCCATATCAGTACGCACCCATCCAGGATGTAAACAAATAACTAAAATTCCATCATTTTTCAAATCTATACTCATAGATTTTGTTGCAGCATTAAGAGCTGCCTAAAAAATATTAGATTAATATTATTTATTAGTTAAAACACATTTGGTTATGAAAAACTAAAGCAACATTACTTAAACTACCTTACTACATCTATATGAGTAAAAACCTCCTTGATCATTTTGTGTAATACTACCAAGAATCGAAGTCATATTGATAATAGCTGCTCTGTTTATACTCATATTTTTTTCAATCTCGTTATTTTTAGAGGCAATTTTTAACAACGGTAAAAGTGCCTATAAAAATATTTACAACGTGTTGTAATTATATATTTTCAAGATAATATTTAATAATGTAAATGTAACTACACCTTCGCTAACATAATTGGAGCTACGGTATTAATAAAGAAATTATTTATCAGATTCTCCTCCTTAACCATACCAATCCGTGAAAATTTTTGTGAAATCCCAGCATTATTAAACAGAACGTTCAGTCCTTCTGATCCTACTTTTTCACTGACAGTATTTACTATCTTTGTATAATTGCATGTGTTAACTAAATCTACAAATAATTTACAATAATATTAATAATAAATAATTTAACACTCTAATGCATTTAAGATAAAAAAAGCAAACATTATGATATATTTAAAAAAATGTTTCATTATTTTTATAATAAATCAAATTATTGCAAACATGAGACACAATAGATAGCCATAATATTTGATATCGCTAAAATTCTAGAAAATATCTAATAGTAGCTGTAATCACAATATATATACATATATATATATATATATATATACATCAATACATACGTATTGATTAACGTAACGTTGGCGTAATCTCATCTTTTATTCTACTATAATTTACGACACCTTTCCACATTCATAGTAAGACTTTCAAGTAGTCGAAATATCATTTTTATTTTTTTCTTCATGATATTAAAGTTATGAAATCTCGTGTATTAAAAATAAAAAAATCATGGTGTTTAACTTGCCATAATAAAACAGAAACAATTGGATCAGATTCGAGCGATCTCGAAAATGAAGACATGAAATCTCCGAAAAATGAAAATTCCAAATACGAAAACTTTATTCCTTGTAAGTAACTGAATATTAAAATTATAAAATATAAATTATTGCTGCTGTATATTTGTATCGTTATTCATATGTTTTACAAATCATAAAATGCATTGTCATCGAATTTACTGATTTCTATTTAAAATGATACACCTAGAATTCTTAGTAATTTAAAGAATGCGGTTTACCTATTTCAATGATATGGATGTTTCTTGATCTCTCAGCAAGTTCTTTCAGCTTCTATTAAAAAAAATTGATTTATTATAACAAATAATATAAATTAAATTATAAACATTATTTTACGGATTGAAATTTATTCATTTATTTAATAAAGATACTTTTAGAAATCGTTTATTTCACATTTAATTTTATTTATAATTTCCAGTTCTTTAATATTAAATTATTAATAAAATACCAATTTTTTCATAATTTAAAATTCTAAGAAAATTCATATAATGAGTATCGAGTTTATTGTTATTTTAAAAATTCTTTACAAACTTTTCCTTATCTATTTATATACGTCTTCTTTACCAATCCGTAATTATAAGATGTAATCGTCTAATTATCTCAATACGAACTTATCTATATACGCACTCGCAAAGAAATCAGATAATGCATTCTATTATATAGAAGTGTAAATAAGAAAGATATTTATCGTTTCAGCTAAATCATTATACAGCTTTATTTTATAATGCGTATGAATAAAAACAAATATAAAACGGCTAAAATCAGTATTGTTAATTAATAATTCTAATAAGATATAATATGCATTTGAAAATTCAAGAATAATCCACTTATAAAACAAAAGAATTTTAAAATGATTATAAGTGATAATAAAATGTTGAGTTAACATTTTTGTTGATAAGATATTAAAAGATAATACATTAGAAAATGTAAAAATGATCATAGAAAGAAAGAATGACTCAATTAATTTTTGTTATTGGTATATATCGATATATGTATATGCGATTTTATCCCGCGTCCTCGATGCGCTTGCGTAATATTTTACAATCACCATGGTGAGTCATCGTTCTGCCGAAGCAACTTCGATATAATTCGTTGTACGATCAAGAAATAGAGTAGGGGGATATTCGCGCTTTCTTTGTTCAACAGATGGCGATAGAACGTAACTAACGGAACCTGTTCGCCAGACATCAGTATATTAAAGTCTTTTTAAGTGCACGGATTTAGTAGTCGTTCTCTCTTCATACGATTCATATTACTTTTTTTTTATTATCAAACTGTAGACGTTAAAATCAATTAACAAAAGAAAATATTTAAAGTGTGATATTACGAATTATAACGAAATATTTAACGAAAGGAAAAAATTAAATATAATTAAAAGAAAATTTCAATGGCGCCGATCGGTAAGCTCATTTTTAACTTATTCAATTGATTCGCTGCTATCATTCGTACGTCTTGATTGCGTCATCCGATTTAAGCCGATTTAACATTATAGTTAAACTTACTGTCGCTTTGCTCACATCACGGCAAGTTGCAAATATATTTTCAGGTGGTTTTGGTAATTGTATGAGATGTTTCACGAGTCCAAGACCTAAGCCACGATTGCAACCGGTTATTAAAATCGATTTCATTTTGTAATAATTTTATTTCGTGATATGCGAAACGTGAATCTTTGAAATTAATTGACGAAATATTGTACTACCATTTAACGTACTTTTGATCAGAACGTTTGCGGGAATACTAACGGCATACGGTCTTGCGCGGATTGTGTTAAATTTGTAAAGACGAGTGTCATTAGTGTGACGTCACGTGCTCACAAAACGAGCGCGATAATCATGGCGACGTTAACACTGCTTACTGCGAGACTTGTGTCATCTCGAATATCGCATAGCAGCAGATTACTCGAATTGTCACATGCCGGATGCAACACTTTCTTTAACGGGAAAGCCGCAATGGCTTGCATGTGTAGTGAGTGATGACGATTAAATGTGTATTTTGTGTGCGCAATTCATGACTTATAAACATTGTTCATAATTTCCGTTTTTTTACACCGTATTTGCTATATATATTTGCATGTATTATGTATGACGCAATTGGCGCAACATTTAAACTTCGGCATCGACTAAATCAATTTACATATTTTCTTGTTTTATTTATTATTAAAATTAAAGAGATTTATTTTTGTTGAGTTAATTAAAAATTTTGTTCTTTAATTTTAAATTTTCATTATAAATATCATTAGTATATTTAATAATTTTTTTGATATTAAATCTAACCTATATGTCAATAGTTATATAACTAAGATGATGATTATGTGAAATGTCAAATGTAATTAATACTTTACTTTTGATTTTAGCGGAAACTAAGTATATGTATGACCTTTTGGTCATTGGGGGAGGATCTGGTGGTTTAGCAGCAGCAAAAGAGGCTGTTGGTCTTGGAGCAAAAGTTGCGGTACTGGATTTTGTTACTCCATCTCCAAAAGGAACTACGTGGGGTTTAGGTGGTACTTGCGTTAATGTAGGATGTATACCAAAAAAATTAATGCATCAAGCTGCGCTACTTGGCGAAGCTGTTAGGGTAAGTTACAGATATATACAATATTCTGTACAGTTATTATTATACGTGATTTACAATCATGAATTCTGATTACAGGAAGCAAAATCTTTTGGATGGCAATTACCAGATGTAAATACTATTACAAATGATTGGGAAACTTTGAAAACTGCTGTGCAGAATCATGTAAAATCAGTTAACTGGGTAACACGGGTAGAATTGAGAACAAAGTTAGTGTTAAATACAGTTAAGCAAATATATGTATTTAATTATTCTTTTCTAATATTATATTTTTATGTTAATGCAGAATGGTTAATTATGTCAATGCTCTGGGATATTTTAAAGATCCTCATACTGTTGTTGGTGTTATGAAAAATGGAGAAGAGAAAATTATTACTGCAGATAAAATCTTAATCGCCGTTGGTGGAAGACCAAAGTACCCTGATATTCCTGGTGCCTTAGAATATGGAATTAGCAGTGACGATATTTTCAGTTTAGAAAAATCACCAGGAAAAACTCTTGTTGTTGGTGCAGGATGTATCCTTTTTATTATTAAATTATATTTTTTAATTTAATTATTAATTATTATTAATTGGTTATGTTAAATATAACAAACAAAGCATATTCCTTAGCGAAGGCATAGATATTGGATTAGAATGTGCAGGATTTTTGAATGGTTTGGGTTTCGATGCAACAGTGATGGTACGTTCAATTGTGCTTAGAGGATTTGATCAACAAATGGCTAATATGGTAGCTGAAGAATTGGAAAGTCGTGGAGTCCATTTTATTTACCAAGCTAAGCCTAAGAAAGTTGAGAAACAAGCAGATGGTCGTCTTTTGGTTGATTGGGTTGACAAGGTATGTTTTAATACTTATATTAAAATATATATATTTAATAAATCAATATTTACTTAAAATTTATTTTTTCTAGGATGGAAATGTTCATCAAGATGTTTACGATACTGTTTTATTTGCCATTGGTCGTCAAGCTCTTACAAAGCAATTAAAACCTGAAAATGCTGGACTTGAAATTGTTCCGGACAATGGAAAAATTGATGCACAAAACGAACAAACGAATGTACCGAATATTTATGCAGTCGGTGATGTGCTTCATGTAAGATGTTAATAATTTATTTGAGATATAATACACGTATTAAATTATTTGAACATTAATTTAATATTAATAATATTAAATATTTATAGAAAAAGCCTGAATTGACACCTGTCGCTATACACGCAGGAAAAATGTTAGCTAAAAGATTATTTGCTAATTCACAAGATAAAATGGACTATACTAATGTAGCTACAACTGTATTCACTCCATTAGAATATGGTTGTGTTGGACTCAGTGAAGAAGATGCTATTTCTCTACACGGTGCCGATGAAATAGAAATTTATCACGCATATTATAAGCCTACAGAATTTTTCGTGCCTCAGAAAGATGTTTCTCGTTGTTATGTTAAAGTGGTGGCACTTAGAAATGGTGATCAAAGAGTTTTGGGTATGCATTTTCTTGGTCCAAACGCTGGTGAGGTTATTCAAGGTTTTGCAGCAGCTGTCAAGTAAGATTTTTTGACATAAACGTTAGGATTATATATTTTTTAACAACAAATTTAAAAAATTATTTATTAAATTGTAAAATTCTATTTTTTTATAGGAGTAAATTAACATTCCCGATACTTAAATCTACAGTTGGTATTCATCCAACTAGTGCAGAAGAATTTACACGACTTTATATTACTAAACGTTCAGGACTGGATCCTAAACCACAAAGTTGTTGCAGTTAAAGTGAATGCGAATTTAAAGAATGCTGTTCTGTATGCTAATTTTTGTAATGTCATTTAAAAAATGATAACTATAATGATGAAAGTATAGATTTATAATTACCTTTAAAGTGGCCAACAATAGGTTATCTACTTAAATATAATAAAAAGTTAAATATATAATAAATAAAAAATAAAAATTCTATATAATTTTATTGTGTACTATTAACCCTTTGACTGCTAAAGGCGTATATATACGCTCTCACAAATCCATCAATATACTCGAAAGGCGTATAAATACGCTCTCATAAATCCATCAATATACTCGAAAGGCGTANAAATCCATCAATATACTCGAAAGGCGTATAAATACGCTCTCATAAATCCATCAATATACTCGAAAGGCGTAAATATACGTCTTCTGTATTTTTTTACTATTACATCTTTATCGCTGTTTTACAGATTAATTTTACATGGAATTTATTGATATGTAACATAACAACTAAATTACTTAAAAAAAATTCTTTAAAAATTCATATTTTTATTTTATTTGCCATTATTATCTGTTTTGGTTAGCTGTCAATAGAAAAACAGTCGCAGCGACTGACATGCGAAAATCGCGCCGTTCATATTAATGGATTAGTTCGAGAGCACGCCGCAGTCAAAGGGTATCCTTTATAATTTTCTAATTCTATTAATTTTATTTCTGTAATATATTCACAAGTGATAAATTTAAATTACCCACTTAAATGCACAGTACTTCCGGTTGAAGAGGCGTCACTTCGTTGCATGAATTTCTTTTTTGACTTCAGTAGTACTTTTCAACTGTTATTAGCCCCGTAAAATTCGGATCAATATATTTTTAATGAAAAAGAGATTTAATATCGACAAAACGGTTAATAAAAAATTGTATAAAAATGGCATCGCCATTTACAAATTTTGATAATAAAAAATCATCTCTATCAAAAAATAATAATACAAAAGAGGAAGAGATATCAGAATTTAATAGATGTCCATTTGTATGTAACGCACACATTTTTAAATGCATTACATTTATGCTAATTATAGAATTACTATTTGCAGAAACTACAATATTCTTTTGGTTTTAATCCAAATATTCCTATAATAAATTTAACAACCGAAAATCGTACATTAATTGCTTACGCTTGTTCACATGTGGCAATGATGTATGATTATAGCAATAACGAAATGTTATCTCTTCAAGGTCACGTTAGTATAGACACGTGTTATTTTTATACCTGATATAATATTAATTTGATTAATCAGTCGAAATAATATTTAGAAAACTGCTATTAGAACATTATCGAGTTCGAATGATGGTAAATGGCTATTAACAGCAGACTTTGAAGATGATTGTGCAGTCATTATTTGGGATACTGAAATAAAGTAAAAATTTAATTATATCGAATGTCCCAAAAGTTGCTTTAATCAGAAAAGAAAGATCCTTACGCAGCTCTAACATAACTCTGATACAATCTTAACGCCATTCTACAAAATGAAAAATCAATAAATAAATTAATAATTTTTTAGATCGATAAAAAAGCTTTTGGGACATCCAGTATAAAACTGTACTTGCGTAGTGCATATATAAAAAATATATATATAATTATTGTTTAGAATACCTATTAGCACTTTATTTGAACCTCATGGTAAAAATGGTTTAACAGCAGCTCGTATAAGTCCTAATGCGAAGTATATTGTTACAATTGGCAATGAAAAATTTCAAAACGTTTACTTTTGGCTCTGGACATATGGGAATAATAAACCCGATGGTTATTTTTAATTAAATGTATTAATTGTTCAGCCTTTCCGTATTTATTATGTTTATTAGATATTTTGATGTTTTTAGCGATTGTTGAATTATCGCACATACATTTGGATAGAATTAAAGAAATTAGTTTCGATAATGACTTTCCAAAACGATTTGCTTTAACTACTGATCACCACGTAGTTTTTTTCATTTGGGTTTGTAATTCGAATTTGTAATATAATTAAAAGTATTTGTATTGTTAAACTATATAACTTTATTATTTATTAGGATCAAGATAAACTTAATTATTATCAACCGAAAATAATTGGAAAATATCGTCGTTTTGGAATTTTCAATAGTTCTATTTTTATTAGAAATACATCGGATACGTTAACAGCAACAACTAATGGTAAAAAGTATTGAATTTTAATAAAAATTAATATGATTAGAATTTATTACATTTTATTTTGCAGGTTTTGTGTTAGTCTGGAATCACGTTCGCACTTCCGAACGTGCTATAGAAGATACAAATCTAAAAAAGAAACATATCAAATCAGTAAAATTACAAACTTGTAATATTACTGTAATTCTTGATTACGAAGGGTATTAATTAATTAGGATATATATAATTATTTAAAGACAAATCTAATATATTTTGTAAAGATTTTCATTTGATCATGGATTATTGTTTTCAATATATAGAATGATTGTTACTGGAAATTCTAACGGACGAATAACTTTTTATGATAATCAATTAAAAATTTTATATTGGTGTCAAAATCATGAACTTGGCTCTATTAGCTCGATTAGTTTCGATCTAAGTTCTACATTAATTGGCCCTGTAAACGTTATCAGTGAAACAGATAGTAAGATTAGCAGAATATGAATCTATCTTTCTTTTACAATCTATTTATTATATTTTTCGAAAAATAGTTGAATCAAGCAACGGAGAAAGTACGGAGGAAATAAAAAGCGAAATGGAAAATGAATTTATAGAGGATTTTGCATGCCAGGAAGACTGTTGTACTTATCAAGATATTGAATGCTTAAATGATAAAATATATAGAAAATTCTCATATTTAACTGTTAATACAGAACGTATTCCAAAATATTATTATGACAACAAAAAATTAAAATATGTAGCAACCGACGCTACTATACAACGTTCTAAGTTCATCGTTAGAAACAGCTTTGTGTGTAAGCGTTTTTCTTTTTTTAAATAATAGATAATAAATTTAACAAAATGATAACATGCATATATACAGAGTGACCAACTCTTGTCACCTAAATAGTTCCGAAAGTATGACAGTAGCAGAAAAGTTTGTGTAATAAAAGATGAATGGAGAATTATGTGGCTATTATATGATTCTTTTTGTTAGGTGGAGTTGCTTCCGAGATTTAATGGTCAACTTTGTTTTTTTAAATAGAATGTTATATTTTAATACTTATTTTCTGATTACGGCGTCTAAACGAATTCAATGATGTGCAACATTAAATACAAAACCTTACAATGACTAATAAAAACTATTCGGAAAATATCTGTTCCGTCCTTAGTGGAACAACTAAAGGATGACGCAACTCTGACGCAACCATGACGTGGAAGAGCTATATTGTGGTCGGCTTGTTCGCCAGACTTGACTTTCGTTGACTTTCAAAAATATTAATGTTGCACATCATTGGATTCGTCTTGACAGTAGTTATCAGAATTATTAGTACCAAAACATAGTATTCTATTTAAAAAAATAAAATTGATCTTTAAATCTCGGAAGTGACTCCATCTAGCAAAAATAATAACATCATGCAATAGCCCCTATTTTTTATGCAACTTTTGTTATCTATCATACTTCTGGAGCTATTCAAGTTATTAATATATATATTAATAATTGTTATAGCTACAACGAAAGGTATACTTGCTTTATTGGATATTTCAAATTTAAAATGCAAATTCATTTTGAAACATAGTGCTGCCCATGTAACAAGTTTAGATGCACATCCGGAAAGGTATACGAATTTAATAAAAAATAGATTTTATAGAATGAAAAGTGATATATTCATTTACAGTAATTATCTTATCACGGGAAACAACGAGGGTATTTTAAATTTATATGATTATGAGAAACGTAGCTTGATCATATCAAAAAAAGTTCCAAATCTACCAGATTTTAAAAGGATTTTTGATTATCAAAATAAAAACGATAAAATAATTTATATTAGTTGTCCCCAGACACATCAAAGTTTAACTGCTATTACCGTTCTGAAATATTCTCCAACATGTATGCTGTAACATATTCAACGAAATATTTTTATTCGCTAATGAAATTATTCATTATATAAAATGATTATATAAAATCATTTTTATTAGCTGATTTACTCATCTGTGGTATGGAAAATGGTACTTTATGGGTATTAAATCCATTAACGTTGGAATTGTTAGATGAATTTCCTTACAAGCATTCGTCTCAAGCTATTCGTATTGTTGCCTTCACCAAATGCTCAACTTACATGGCTTATTCCGTTGAGTATCTTTTTTCTGCAATAAAAAAATAATTACATAAGTTTTATAATTAAAATATATTAATTTTGTTAAGGACGATGCTTTGTCCATTGTAGTATTCCGAAAAAATGATACTAAGTCTGTAAATATAACCAACATTTGGAATTTAATCGGAAAATGTCATTCGCATAGTTTACCTATTAGACAAGTTTTATTTGGACCGTCCATAACAGACAATTCAATTCCGCGACTATTTTCTTTAGGAGAGGATCAAGATCTCATCGAATATGATTTAAAAAATAGGTAGACAAAAAGTGATATATTTCTTTTTATACTATACGAAATATCGTTATTATATAATAATATAATAAATTTATATTAAAACAATAGTGGACCATATCCGGATCCAGGATTACAAATTTTACAGATTGATAAAATCGAATCAAAAGCAACCCCTCTTTATTTAGAATGGTATCCGCGATTCGGTGTTGAGACTCTTTTCGTAATATCGAATTCTGAAGTAATTTATGAGTTAAAAAGTTTACAAATAATTAATATACATATTATAATACTAATAAACTCTACAATTTCAGTACAAGTATATATTATTAAATGATATAATCAGAATGATTCGTGGAACTTTTTTAAATCCAACATTTGGAGCACCTATACAACGTTTTAAAGTATGTATGAGTATTATGAAATTTTCATTGATATTATTATCGATATTTATGATATTTTATAATATTACATTATTGTACATTATATATTTTTCGTTTCCGTAGATATTAACAAAAAAACATAATAGCATATATATGGTATTTTCAACTGATAAGGAAATAGGTTTACAAAGTCTTCCATTAGATGGTAATCCTTATACAAGTTTAGGACTTACTGGACATCCGTGTAAGGTATTTGATTTATTTTTAAAATTTTCTTTTTATATATTTTCTACAAACATTTATTTAAATGAAAATAAACGCATTAGATAACTGGATTTACTGTGGATTGTAAAAACAATATTGCATTTACCATGGGATATAAAGATTCGTGTGTTTTAATGTGGAAGATCAAATTTAGGTTTGTACAAAAATTAAACTATACTTCAAAGAATTATGTCAAATCTTGGCAAAGAATAAATATACATATTGTTTAAAATATAAGAAGACTGGAGAGTAAGTATTTGTGTATGTATATGTGTGTCCATGAAAAAATATTTGTTATAGATCAATAAATATTATGAAACGTTTAGGAGGAGAAGGATTGTCTCCATTTTATAATTTCATAAAAGGTGGTAAAAATGGTTGGTTATTTAACGAAATGCGAGATTTATTCTACTACGCACAAATTCTACAACAAGGAGAAAATACGATGGAAACAAGAAAGATTTCCGATGTGATTTCCATTAAACAAATACCAAATTTAATGCGAGCCGTTGGTTATTTTCCTAGTAACAAAGAAGTACGATTAATCGTTGACTTTAACTACTTAACAATTATATTTAGAATTTATTTATATTATGAAATCATCTTTTATAAAATAATTATGAGATATATAATAATATGAGAACTTTTAGCTAGAAAACATTATGTGCGAAGTAGCATATAGGAATTATGCAGAGACGGGACAATTATTGGAAGAAATTAATTTTGAAGATTTCGTAAAACTATATATCAATCATCGACCCGCTTTTGGATATTCTACGAGACAAGTAAAAAAATCATTTGCAATTCTTTGCGGAAAGGAATCAAACAATAATGAAGATTTAATTTTAACTCGGGATCAATTTATGAACGTATTATTTGGTAAATATCCAGAGAAAAATATTACGGAGGATAACAAACTTCTCGGTTAGTCTTTCTCTCTCTCTCTCTTTCTCATTTTAATGTTATTTCATTACATTTCATTTCACTCATTTTTCTATAACTTGAATTGTGTCTATATTTTTAAAGGTGAACCACTAACATTAGAAGAAGCATATACATACCTAAAACTGCTTATTCCTTCGGAGGATGCCAATATAACACATTTTGCGGATTCAAAAGAACAAAAAATATCTACAACTACAAGTTTTAATTTTTTACCATCGGTAAGTATGACAATTGTACTATAATGTACAATTAATCAAACGCTATTAAAATAGGCTTTTGAAAATTAATGTATTATTATTTTTATGATACAGAAGATATCTTACAAAGATTTTGTCACGGTTATTTTGGGTGTTGAATTTTCGGAGAGGATGAGGGCTGAGAATAAAGATATAAAGTGATGTTTGTCGCATTGCCGATACGATTTTTTACTCAATTTTTTTGTTATATTTACATTATGAAAGCTATCTAAGATAATAAAGAAATGATTGAAAGATAGTGTCTATTATGTGTTACATATTTTAAATTAATTTTACAGGGGAAATAGGAGAGGACGACTTGCTTTAATCTGAAAGATTTGCGTTGATAGAAATATTTGAATTTACAATTGAAATGATCGCAGACTTTATGATATCTCAAAGGGTTTTGTTTTTTAAATATTCTTATTAAAAGTACGTAGGACATTAAGATTTGCACGAACCGAAATTTCTTCAATGACAATAGAAGAATACTCCCTTTCTTCTATATCCATTTCATAATATCCATCAATTGATGTAAAAAATTATATAATATTGTATAATTTCGTGTTATGAGTAAAAGTTATTTTATATTTTGAAATATATTGAAAGAGAGAGTCAATACATTATGTGAATAAGAACAAAATACTGGAATATTATAATTAACGTTAATTCCAAAAATGTGTTTCCAGAAGCTACAATAGAAGCGATATTACGCCGAGGAGGCATTATTTCGGCAGATGCAGGAATAACTTTATGAAATGGACTTAAAGAAGTATAGGCAGAAATTTATTGAAAATTATATACTAACGATGTGCTGTATGATATTATACGATCAGCAATCGTATGTCTTGTGCCATCTTATGCGACTAATTATTACATCGCTCGTCCCATTAGGAACGCAATTTTCTTATCCGAGCTACACGATAGTACTAACTGTAAATATTGATTTATTTGTTCATTTGATCTCAATACCATAGCAATGCAGTGACAGCGGTATGTCATTTATACATTTCTAATTTAAATGGAATATGCATCAAACAAGATTACGCCATTATGAATGGATTCGTATTCTGTGAGAAAAATAATTAAAAATAATATATATATATATATATATAATAGGCCCAATAACTATTGAAGCGCTTAATTAGCGTAGTAAGATGTTAAATTGCAGAGCTATTCATATCAATCATTGATAATAAAAAGCTTGTTGTAGTGAAGAAGAACATCTTTTCTCCTATGTTTTTTTCCCTTATAACGCATTATGCGATAGACTAGAAATAACGAAAGATCCATTTGTTTTATGAACCCCTTTCTTTTTCTTTTTTTCTCTTTTTGTTTTTATATCTAAAAGCGTGAAAAAGAATTATAAGAGAAAAAAGTAAGATCAACAATTTTAGACGATGAGAATATCTATTGTATTTTTATTAATTTTTCGTAATGTTAACGTGTTAAGTAAATAACATCAAAGAAACTTAACACATTTCATTATAAAATCGAAGCTATTACGATATAAAAAAAGTGACCGTGATTTATGTCAGTTTCACAACCGAAGTTCTTCATCAAAAACCTATAGTCAAGCACATGGTTAAATGATTGTTCATACAATGGAGGCATGGACACCGCCAGCAGTGCCGACTGTCGGATCAGACGTAACTGTAAATTGAATTCATAAAACACAGCCCTCCCGTACTCATACGCCCGCGGGTTCCTCTTCACATTCAAGAAATTTGCATCCCTGGCGCGATGCAGTCTACAGTTCTAAAAACCGATGCTACACACCGCCTATCACCTAAATCGAATTTTATACACAGCACTTTAATCGTTAAAAGAAGTACAAACAAATGTACACAAGAAACCTTATTTCATTATTATAAACTTTAGATCATATTTACAATTATATACAAACATTTTTGTTATTGGCTTAAGAAAAATATCAACATAGAACAGCGTATATCATTAATATTAATATTATTATTTTTTTTTGTTTTCATTTTTTGTTTGTTACCAAGAAGAAAAAAGGGTAAACGCTATAAGAGTACATCTAAACTTAAATATTTAAAGTGAGCACGGTATTAAGATTTAAAAAGACCACTCACAATATCCATGACATCTTTAGAAGACTGACAATGAAGTAGATACCGCGTATTGTTATCAATCGAAACATTCCTCACTATTTTGCATAATACCATGTTTTTTCCTACAGTCTGGACAATACCACTTGCCCTTAGGGGGTATCATAATGCCAACACACTCGAAATGAAACCATTCAATACGACAGTCCCGGCCGTCACAAGCAATCATTTCGGATACCTCGTCGTAGGGACATTGACAGTAACAATAAAGATTAACAGAACGTTCTGGAACCGAAGTGGTACTCTCTGAAACTGAGTTACCCTGCGGTTGCTGATGCATTGACGCGTCAACGTCAGAACCACTAGATTCGCTACTAGTATCTGCTGGTTCCTCGGATTCTGTCGCAGACGTACCCGTCACGTTCACAATAGGTTCTGGCTCAGCGACGTTTGCTCTATAAGCCACGGTCTTCCCACCAAAAGATAATCTTTGTTGTAAAGGTTTCGGTTGCGTCGCAGGTACGAAAGACGGTGGTTCGACAACCTTTCTCCATTTCATTGTCGGTTGCTTTTCCGTTTCCTCGTCGCTGGAGTCGCCGTAAAATCGTTTTGGTATACGTTTTCTCTTTGATGACCTTTTATTCTCCGTCTCAGAGCCGCTACCACCGATATTCTGATTTGCATGAGAATTAGATTCGACCGCCGTTACAGTCGTCTGAATATTATTCGTGATAAGATTCGGCGTCGATCTACCAAGTTGATGATGACCCATTACGGAGAAGTTCGAATTCTTTTGGTAATACACTTTAGGTATGTTAAGCTTCAATGATTCTACCATTGGAGTAACGACTCGTTGCTTAACCCTCTCACCTCGTTTACGTTTTTTTGTTTTTACTTTTTTCCTTTGTTGAAGTTGTTGATCCTCGACACTCGATGCTGGATTTGGCGAAGGAGTAACATAACTTTCGTCCGTAATACCATTATTTAAAGGAAGTACCGAATCAGTCGAAGGTGGTGCAACCTCTGCAAGTAATAATAGTTGATTTCGTTTTTCTGCCATTATTTTATTAGCGAGCTGCTGTGGATGCTCGTCATAAAAGTCCTCGTCTGTTATAGTTTCATCTGTTTCCAAATCTGATTCTCTCAATAATAGTTTTGGAGGAGAAGTCGGTTCGATTGGTGCGTCGATTACATCGACTACTACTTCTTTATTTTCAGTTTCTGCTGGAATACCTTGTTCTTCTTGTTCAACGACCTCTTTTTCCTTTTTACGTTCTTTATTTTTCGACGATTTACGAGGAGAACTTTCCGATGCTGAACTATCGGAGTCAGAGCTACTACTAGAACTTGAGGAACTACCAGAAGATGAGCTACTACAACTGCAATTGGTACCACAAGAACAGCTGCTCGAATCACTTTCGCTAGAAGAATCACTTGAAGAAGTACTACCATTCTGTTTTTTCTTTTTAGGGCTTTTTCCTTTCTTTTTATTTACATCGCTCTCACAGCCAGTATTTTGTTGTGCTAAACTACCAGCGGATGGACTTCTTTGAAGCTTACTAGGGTAATCAGAGAAATCTGCATTATCTGTTCCTTTTTCATCTTCTTTCATTCCATCCTCGGTATTTTTATCTTTCTCTGACCATACGATGCAATAATCATGATCAGCCAAAACTATACTCCTTAAATATGCAACATCTATTTCAGGTCCGGTTTCTTTGTTGGATAGATTTGCTGACTCTTGCATCTCTAAACTAGCTGCATATGTTTTGAAATTATCCCAAATACCATCCATTATTTTCGCTTCTTGTTTCTTTTCCTCTTCATTTTCTTCTTCATCCACTATATTATCGTTTGTTTGTACTGGTGATTCTACTTTAACAGATGTTGCAAGTGATATTGTTTCTTCTGTCTTCTGTTCTATTACTTCATTTTTTTCTGCACTTTCTTCATTCTTTTTTGAATCATCCTTTGCATCTTCCATTTCGCTTTCACTTTCTGAGGATAAATTGAGCGGCGGTAAATCATAAACATCAACTACTTTTTTCATAGTCTCTTTCACATCTTTTGTATCATTTGAGGTGTTTGATGTGATATCTACGATACTTGTTTTTTCTTTGTCACATTTGTCATCGTCAACCAAAATTTGATTGTTTGCCGCATCTACCGTACAGACATCTATTAATACTGGTTCTTTATGACTTTCTGCGTGTTTAGCTAAGAGCCTTCGCGAGATAAAACGACTTGAACATTTGCTACAACTATATGGTTGATCTCCTGAATGTAATCTCTTATGAACTTTCCATGCTACAGCTCGACTAAAGCTGGAACCACATTCTTCGCAAGTAAAAACTGTAGGTGGGATACAGAAATGATAAATATGTGGCCATTTCTTTTGTAAACATTTTTTACATAAAACACTCTCAGTACCATGCTTCCAGAAAAGATGTTTTGTAATGTCAGGTTTATTTCTATATGCAATACCACATCGATAACACAAATGATGAAGTTTGTGTTTCCATACATGATTTGACAATCGTTGTTGATTTCCAGTAGTCTCCAAACATACATCACAAGCATGATGACTCTTTCTCAGATGTACCATTAATCTGAATGCAGATGGAAGACTACTAATAGAACAGAGACAACATCTATACTTGACACTCATATTTGGTAAATATATGCCTGGACATAAATGACACAACAATTCACTGTAACTATAAAACGTTGATTTACACATTATACAAATTAAAATTGTTTTTTGATGCATTTTTCTGTGGTGAGAATATAGTTCTTTATGTATTGTAGAATTATATCTACAATGAAAACACTCGTATGTCCTAAAAGTTTGAATATTATAGGTACCATTTGTGCTGCTGTACGTGTCAAGATTGAAAAAATTAGTTTCCTGTTCATCAAGTGATTTTTTAACTCTTACTGTAAATTGCTCTGGTTGTATGATTATAGCTGGATGCTGCGGATGAAATTTATGTTCAGCTAACATATGTAATCCTAATTGTTTTCCATTGACAGCTATATGGCGTGCGTGATTGCAGTAGACACATAATGGACTGGCTGCTTCTATACATTTTTTCAATAAGTCTTCTAACTTTGTACTATCTAATGTACCTTCCACATTAAGGTCTATAGGTGGGACATCTTCTCCAGCTAAGATTATTCCATCATTCGGTTGAGATATTAATTCCGAATTTATGACATCTTTTGTCGCATCATTATTATATTGTTCTGTTGTTGTGCTAAGTTCAACATTTGTATTATCACCTATTGCAAATTCCTCTTTCTCTTCGTAAGTATTAGTATTTCCTATAATTTCCGTACTTCCTTTAGCTTCTACTTTATCTTCAGGCTTATCTAATTCTTTAATATCATCTTCTGCATTACTATCTACTACAGCTAATTTATAACTATCGGAATCGCTATCAGCTTCGTTTATTTGATTACTTTCTATACTAACTTTATCTTTCTGAGTAAAACCTAAAAGTTTTTCATCTGATGATGAATCTTCTTCTGCATTGTTATTCTCTTCAGAATCTCTACTAATATTATGAGTTTCTACACTTGCCGTCGAACTTACAGAAAATTGTGAATTCTTATTTGTACAAATTTTAATTACTAAACTTCTATCAGATACTGGGGCAGTATTAAACGAAACTGATGTTTGAGATTCTGTAGGCGGCGCAGCCTCCACGTGTTTACTACCATCATCAGGATACTCTTCCTTTGGTTGGAGATCCTGCTGCGATTCATGTTGAGGACTAAACAATGATCTACTAATTGGACTATGAACAGGACTTGATGATGAGTGAGACTCTGAGTCAAATTTTGTTTTTGACATTTCTAACGTTTCACCTTTTTCAACAGTATCTGTTTCTTTTTTTATTTGATTTTCGGAATTAATTTCATGTGATTCTTCTATAATTGTGGGTTCTACAGGAATGCTATTTTCAGTCTCCGACTCTGTCTTATTAGTTATGTCTGCTGCATCAGACTGATTTGCATTTTCGTTTGGCATATCTTCATCATCTTCGGTGTCATTTGTACAACGTGAAACTTCCATAATTGTTTGAGTTATACTATCATAAGGTTCTATTTGTTTATTATTTTGAGTCTGTGATTTTTCTGGAGATATTTTTGTTACAGAAGGAATATGATCTTTCTGTTCTATTTCGCTGATGCATGATTCATCAATACATTTAGATACTTCCATTATTGTTTCTAATACTGTATCTCTAGCTATATTAACTACTGTCTCATCTTGTACATTTCTATCTCTAATTACTGTACTATCCGAAGAAAGTTGATTTTCGCTGGATTGAGTAATCCCTACTTTAGCGTTAACTTTTTTCGCATTTTGTTGACATGAATTAGATATACTTTTCTCTCCATATTTATTTCTATTATTTTTAATCATTTTCTTTGATGTTCCTTTATTATTCATATTTGATGGTTTCTCAATAGAAATTGTTGATACCATTTCTGTTTGCATAGTTGTAATAGGTACCGTAAGATTTGCATCTTTATTAGGTTCAACTGCTAGTGTACAAGACTTCGCATGTGAGCTTGTTTGAAATAAATTGCAAACACTTGTAGTATCTTCCTGTTTAGTCAAAGGAGAACAGTAGTGGCTACTGAAATTATCTGTTTCAGAAAACATCTTTTCACAAGTACAACAAATCAAATAACATGATCCTTTGAAAGCACTGTAAAAGTCTTCGACAGTGTTAAATCCCATATGTGGTATGCTATGCGTTTTATACAAATGATAAGATAACCTTTCTGCTTGTCCAAACATTCCTAAGCAAAACAGACATATATGACGTTTATGTTTATCTCTCATATGTAAAAACAAATTCCAATTTTCAAAGTATGTGTCGCAAGCTGAACACAAATATACTTTCCTTGCAATTTTAAAATTAGGAGAGTGTGACTGAGAGGATGCTTCAGAAGTGCTCGGTAATCCTTGCATCGGTGCCATGGCAGTATTACACATACACTGACTTTGTTTTAAATTCAAATTTGTTGAAGAATAACACTTGGAACACTTTAACTTTGAAGAAGGTTGAAGACCCAAATATTGAGCATACTCTGTTATCTTCCCCCTTTTATTTTCTATTCTTTTCTCTTTAGTAATTTTCGATAATACATTGGGATGAGATACTTGCTCTGGAGAACTTTTAGATGCAACCGATTGTGTTTCCTGAGCTTGAGCCAAAATACGTTTCTTAAAACCTTTGAACACACTTTTTGATCCGCTACTGGTATTCCTACTTGGCGAGTCTTTAGGAGTTACTATATTATATCTATTTATTCGTTTCTCTTCTTCGATTGTATCGATATACAAGTTATCAACAGAATGTTTTAAAGTATTGCCAAATGTTGGATCTTTGAGCTGTTGATCTCCCAAAATACTCCACATGTCCATAATTTTACCCTCACCATCTTCATCTTCCATAATAATGCAGACTGCTAGAACAATGTTACCTGAAATAGAAAAATAAAATCTTGTAACTTTTATTAAGAATATTTCGTTTATAGAAAAAAGACAACATACAAAAGTAATTAACAGAAATATAGATATAAAATGTAGATATAAAATACTTAAACTACGTCACGTGTAATAGCTTTGATAAAAACATTATGAAGTTTTATCAATTAAATAGTTATTAATAAGAAGAAGAAAATTCGTCATATAAAAGAAAGTAATAAGGAATTATTACTTTTAATCGTGCATTAAATCATCTAAGAATACAAATAATATTAGTCACATAACCTCATATATTTATAAAAATAAAATATCATTTTAACAAATATTAATTGATCTAGAATAAGTTAATTTAACATTTTATGGAACTAATCACTTCACCATATCATGTAATTAATTGCATTTAAAGTTTAACTCTGATGCAAGAGATTTATTACGAATACTTGATAAAACTGTTAAAAATTATTATTTTTCTAACCAAGACATAAATGAATACTTGATTATAACTTTCAGGAAGAATATAATGAACAACTTCATACAGATCATAAAAAGGAAAAGCTTAAATAAGACTAAAGAAAAAAAAGGAAAAATATAAATGTAAAGATCCGTACCTGCATTAATTTAAGAACGCAAACGTTTACTACGAAATACGTAAACTGTGCATCGTAGATCTTCGTTGAAAACATTATGAAGTCTCATACATGATGCTGCATACTTTAATTTTCCCTCCTTGGCCGGTGTGTTGAAGCCGAAAGAATGATCGAACTCGCATTAAAGATGAAGCACATAAGCTAAACAATGATGACGAATTATTAGAAGTTTATGAAGACGTAGAATCCGAGAGTGACCGGTCGGCGAGGTCGAATGGTAGAAGAAAGAACGGCGCGTAACTTTTTTACTCCTTGTAAAGGGTTTTACTTCGAATCACTAGCCCGGACTCTTTTCACTTCCCGGTACAGTCCTGGTCAAATTCGTTCTTCGTGTTTTTCCTCAAAAAATATGGGAGATCGACTGTACGCGGATATCGCGATAACGCTCGTAAATGATAATACAAAATGTTTTACTATCCGTGATCAACCACGAACCGCGCCGAAAAGGTTAGTAAAATGGCGTCATATCAATCAGTGCAGTCTCGTTGCTGCCTTCCAACTCGTCGTACCCAGTGATGCCACCTTTTCTCATGATCCATCTCAACCTCAAAAGATCTTCAATAGAGAAAGAGGGAAACAGTAATAATACAGATAAGAAAGAGAGAGAGAGAGAGAGAGAGAGAGTGTGAGTGAGAGTGAGAGTAAGAGTGAGATGGAGAGAAATGAAGGGAGCATGGAAAAATGAAAAAGCAAGGCGATAGGTAGATAGAAATAAGAGAGAGAAAGAGAGAAAGAAAGAGAGGAGACGCAAAATAAGGTTAAGCCGAATTTATTTAAAGTCGAGTTATTTGCTCTAATGCGCCTCAAGTCCTTAAAAATAAATAATTGATTGTGGATGTTTTTAATGCAAGCACGAATTTTCTTCTTGCCTGGTGTACCACGGCTATCATGTGAAAACTCGATACACGAATCGACGACATTTCTCGTGTACGCCCAGTGTAGTGTCCGGTACTACCACCTTTTACATATTATTTTATCCTACGTATACCCGCCATCTAGTGCATTGGAAAAGTTATCCTTTGGTTAACGAACTTTTCCATTCATGCTTTGTTATTTTTCAAATTCATATTCGATGCCTTTTAGCAATTTATAACAAATATACAATAATTATATTCCATTATTTTCAATAATGATACATTATTGAAAATGATACATAATTCATAATGATCCATTGTTGTGGATAAATTTATGATTTCTACAACAAGGAGACAAAGAAAACGAATACGAATATGTTAAGATTGAGTTTTGAAAACAATTGAAATATATTATATCGTTAATGATAAAAATTAGCAAATGTGTTACTAACGATTTTATATATATATATAAATATTTATATATATTTATTATATAAAATTATATATATAATATAATATTTATATATAATTATATATATAAATTAAATAATATATAAAAATTTATATATATATATATATATAATTGTAATTTATATTAATTTATATACTTCTTTTTTTTTATTATACATTCCACAAATATTCCATCGTCATACTATGTACTGATAATCAAACGTCCAATGTTTTTTGTTGCAACATGGCGATATCTAGCGTTACAAAAGTGAAATATTAAAAATATTTACAAATAATACTATGATATTAATATTTGCTTCTGTTCGATAATTTTATACAATAAAACTATTATAGATTGTAATATATTATACTGTTTAAATTTCAATATAATTAAGTTTATAATACTTGAATAATTTGTGTTTGAAAATATACTAATAAGAAAGCCGTTTCAATGGAGCTCAGTAATTGGTCAATTTTACGAAAAATGTCCAGAGTGTAGAAAATTTGAAATTGATGTATATTGGAATACCTTTTATCTTCATATTCGAAGATCAGTGTATGAAATATTTTACGACCGGTTTCCTCGAGGCTAAAGTACCGGGCTGTGCATCGTGGCTTTTTGGCGGGCGCTATTTCTTTGGCGGTTTCTTGAGTTTTACTTTCAAAGCTGAAATATAAAAAACGTATAAATGGGTGATAAGGACGGTGGTAAGAAAATATCTGATATACAATACCATTAATATCAAGTTTATTCTAAAACATAACTATTAATTGGTTATTTTTTTAAAGGACGCTTCTTTACCCGGTATCATAAACAATACCGTTTTCTTATATCAAGTTTCAACTTATCGCAATTGTTCAACCATTCATTTAACCTTGTATTTTAATAATTAATTTCTTAAGTTTTTGTAAAACATATGAAGTAGATTAGATTTTCTTTGAAATATATTACGAAATCTATGTAATTGAAAAATACTATTTAATCATCCTACATATATATTTCTATAATAATTAAATAGAATATTAAATTTTACTTATTTTTCTATTTCTATTTAACAGTTTTTTTTTATAAAATTGTAAATTATAATTTTATCAATTATTAATTTTATTAATTATTAATTTTTATTTCATATTGTTATCTATGATAAATTAAAAAATATATGTATAAAATAAAGAATAAGATTTCTCTTGTTAAAAATTTCAATAATATATTTATATTTTATTATTTTAGAAACTTTCGATGATGCTGTCGAAGAACGAGTTATCAACGAAGAATATAAAATATGGAAAAAGAATACACCCTTTTTGTATGATCTTGTAATGACGCATGCTTTGGAATGGCCATCTTTAACTGCACAGTGGTTACCGGATGTAACTAGACCAGAGGGAAAAGATTACACCGTTCATCGTTTGATCCTTGGTACACATACATCGGATGAACAAAATCATTTGTTAATAGCGAGTGTTCAATTACCAAATGAAGATGCTCAGTTTGATGCTTCCCATTATGATAATGAAAAGGGTGAATTTGGTGGATTTGGTTCTGTAAGTGGAAAAATAGAAATTGAAATTAAAATTAATCATGAGGGAGAAGTAAATAGAGCAAGATACATGCCACAAAATCCTTGCGTTATCGCTACAAAAACTCCATCAAGCGATGTTTTAGTATTCGATTACACCAAACATCCTAGCAAGCCAGATCCAAATGGTGAATGTCATCCAGATTTAAGGTAAACATTTTTATTTTTGTGCCTAATATATAATATGCTTAAATCATTCTCTATATAATATATTAATGTATTCATTTAGGTTACAAGGACATCAAAAAGAAGGTTATGGATTATCATGGAATCCAAATCTTAATGGCTACTTGTTGAGTGCATCAGATGATCATACAATCTGTTTATGGGATATCAATGCTACTCCCAAAGAAAATCGAGTGATTGATGCAAAAACTATTTTTACAGGACATACAGCCGTTGTAGAAGATGTTGCATGGCATTTGTTGCATGAATCTCTTTTTGGTTCAGTTGCAGATGATCAAAAATTGATGATTTGGGATACGAGGTACATATAATAATATAAATGTATTAATTAATAATATAATATATCTGATATATCTTAATATATAAAAATGTATATTATTACAGATGTAATAATACTAGTAAACCAAGTCATACAGTGAACGCTCATACCGCAGAAGTTAATTGTTTAAGTTTCAATCCATATTCAGAATTTATTCTTGCTACTGGTAGCGCAGATAAAACAGTAGCTTTATGGGATTTAAGGAATTTAAAATTAAAATTACATTCTTTCGAATCTCATAAAGATGAAATTTTCCAAGTTCAATGGTCACCACACAATGAAACAATATTAGCAAGTAGTGGTACGGATAGACGTTTACATGTATGGGATCTTAGCAAAATTGGAGAAGAACAATCTACTGAAGATGCTGAAGATGGACCACCAGAGTTATTGGTAATTTATTTATTTTAAGTCATCGTTATAAATATAAATAATCTGATAAATTAATATATTTCTTTTTCTCTTATATAGTTCATACATGGTGGACATACTGCAAAGATAAGTGATTTTTCATGGAATCCTAATGAACCTTGGGTAATATGTTCTGTGTCGGAAGATAACATAATGCAAGTTTGGCAAATGGCAGAAAATATATATAACGATGAAGAACCGGATACACCAGCTAGTGAACTTGAAGCTGGGGCTTCATAAATTGAAAAAATAATTTATTAAATCATCTTTGATTTAACAAAGGTTAAGAAGTACTTCTAATTAGTACTATTAACTACTGAAAAGAACATTATTGAATTATAAACAACATTAGAATTGGTGATTTATATATTTGTATAACTTAAGAAAAAAGAAACAAAAAAAATTGTGTGATTTAAGTTATAACATTATGGAAGAGCAATAATATTTCAGTTCTCCATTAATTTTTATTACTTTTGTTTGTTTTTGGTTTTTTTTATTACGATTACATTAATCTTAATTTTTCACATCAAAACGTATATCTATTAAAATTTTTTTAAATGCATGTACTTGCGAGAGATACAAAGTACTGGTTCGTTGATTAAGTATCAGTACTGTATATTTGTAAAAACGTTCTATCATAGGCTTACTGCGTACATTTAACGAAGAATTTATTTTTTAATTAACTTGTATGAATTAATCAATCATTATTGTAGAATATTGTTTCTGCTCATAAAATGTATCAATATTTGTTTTGTTTTCTATCACTTATTTGTTGAACAAATTTTTATAATTTCACACTTGTTTAACAATTGAAAACATTTATAAAACAAGTTTTATATAAGTATATTGTACAAGTTAATTAATATTTCATTTTTGTATTTTTTTTTTTTTTTTATATACAAGATTTATTAGTGCATATTTTTTTTGTAACTATATAAACACGATAATAAACAGATTTAATAATAAACGAATTTATATTTGCCAGCAGTGAGCCTATCGGTGGTAATAGCGCGTTCTTACAATCAGCAACTTGGGTTTTAGGGTAGCTCTTAGGTACATAGAAAATAAATGCTAAACATTCAGGCACTATTATGTCGTGTCGTTCGATACAAGACCAAATTGGAGAATATAGGTTTGTATGAGAAATTACATTAGTATGATAAAGAAATCTCTATTGATAATTTATCCATTCGTGTTTTATCTGTTTTTTTTCCTTTTTTGTTTTTAACTGTCACAAATATTAGTTATTAATAATTTTTATCGTAATTTCTGAATTTTTTGTTTCAAACCATCTTGAACGACGAAATAATCATCTAAACAATTCAGTCCTAAAATCCACCCTGTATTAGATCCATGCTATAATAATAATAAGAAAGTTGCGTTAAATTTGAGAATGAGAAAGATGTGTAAACATTATCAGGTAATATTTAAATCGATTACAATTTTAAAGTCAATATGATATATCTATTACATAAAATGTACATAAACAAATGTTTTATATACGTTTATAAGATAAATGGGGTTTAAAATGACCCATTGAAAATTTCCTGTAATCATTTCCGTATTACTCAAAAAGGGATTATTAAATATCAATTGTAAGCTTAGAATAATTTATCAAAATATCGTCGCTTCAACACATATTGACGTGCGTTTTTATCTTTGCTAGATGTTTCCAGTTTACATCCCCTTTCAACATTTTTAATTATACAACTTTCTTCAATATTTTCGATAGTCGCGAATAATAATTAAGATTTATTTATCTTGGCACTTATTATCATTAATAGTAAAATTTGACGAGTGTATATAAGACGAAAAAATTGTTCCCCTATTATATGGTCGTGTTAGATAGTTCGTTGTATATTTGGACAAGAAGTGAATCCTGGTATTCGGCTTCAGGACTTTTCAATGATATCATATCTTTCGAATCTAAGTTCGGAAATCTGAAAAAGTGAAATTCTCTGTTTAGAAATGAATCGTCAGTCGTCTTCTTATTAAATCAGGATCAATTAAATTATTCGAAATATTACCAAAATCTGTGTATCAATAGGATGTCGTTTATAGAACGCGACCTGTTTCGGCTATGCATGCAAAAATAAATAAAAAATTTTACAAAATATAAAAATTCATAAACGTTCGCAAAAATGAATAGAACGTGGTCAAACGCGTTTAGATAAAAATATGTAAGTATATACATATACATATGGTGTTCTGTAATTGGTAAAACAAGTGAACAAATGGTGATTATACAAGGAAAACTAAATCGAAAAGTGTAGAATAACATTTTTCCAGATAAGGTTTCGTTTCCGAGGAAAATAAGTTTGAATATTTATCAAGTACGAGTGCACTTGATTCAGTTTCTTTAAGATTAATTTTACTTTTTTACTCTTAAATATTTAGGAGAGCATTTATGTGGTTTTTAACATTATTACAAATATTGTCAATATGATGATATCTCTTTTATCGGTTATATTATTGTGCTTATGAAACAAGACGTTTAGTTTCCAAGGTTGCAAACTCGATTAAATGCCCGCGTACTCGACAAATTTTCAAATATATTTTCCTCGAAAACAAAATCTTAGATGAAAACATATTATTCTAGATTGTCGACTTACAATTAGTATTTCATATAGAATCATCCGCTGCTCGCTTGTACCACCAGTTATAGAATACCTATATATATACAGTATATACGTTGTGCTGAAATATTTTCAAACTTAAAAACAATATAGAAGATCTCCGAAAATTTACCTTTTACCTAAATTTTGTTGCTTTATACCATCCAGAAAGTTGATTATTGAAGGTGTCAAGGCAGGACGAAATATCTATGCTCAGACAATATATCTTTAGTATGATGTATTATGTTATCGCGTAATAAGATGAAAATGCAAACATTCTTACCGTAACGGGTGCACAGCGCATTTCGCGAAGGTCTATGTTTCTGAAGAGGTCGTGAATAAGAAGTTCTTCTATACTCGGATACCGATTTCTAGTCTCATCAAATATTATCTCAAGTAGTTCAATGACCTAAATGAGAATACTGGGGTCAATACTCTTAATGGGGGAAATAAAAAGAAAAGAAAATCATTGCGCATTGCGTTTTGTGTTCAACCCTCTAGAACTTCGAAGTTCACACACACACACACACACACACACACACACACACACACACACACATATATATATATATATATATATATATATATATATATATGATGATATATACTTGAAGTTACTTATTATATTTTTATTAAATAAATTAGTTTAAAATTGTTTGTTTTTAATAAAATTATTAATTTTATTTTTTAAGATTAAATTATATTTAATATAGTATAATAATACTATAATTACTCATACGTACACTCAAAATATACCGTTACAAATTTTTATTTTAAAAATATAGTATATTGAAGAAAAATTGTTCAGTCAAAAGTTATATGAAATAACTTACATAGAATTAAAATATTTTTTTCCATTTTTTATTTTAATTTTAATAGAATATATATATAAACAAATAACTTTTGTCTGAAACATATTTTCATTTGAAGTCTGAATAAAAATTTAGTTATGGGGGTTGAACGCTTTACCTGCGGATATATCTCGATATCCGAAAGATGCGCAGCGGTTGGTTTGAAGGAGCATAATTCGTAGCCGGCGCACATTTCGAACAGCATGTGACCTAAATTGAAAAGAAGAATTCCAGTCTTAGAGAATATTAGGAGGACGTTTTTTTCTTTTCCCGTTATTATATCGATCGAATATTTTTTGTTTACCGAAACATATCACGTCTACAGTGCTTGTTTTGGTCAATCGTGTTGTTACTATTGGATGTATTCTGCTTTTGAAACCTAAGAGGGTGTTTTCGAGACCGGCAAGACGAGCTACGCCATTCTGCACGACAACGTTTCCAGAGTGTAGATGAGAGACTACAGGAAAACCTCTCTCTTTAAGGAACACCAAAGCTTCTAATATCTGTCTACCCATCTGCTGGATTTGTGATAATGGTAGACCTTTACCACGAGAAGCATACTTTTGACTCCAATCATCGTTCCAGCAATTCCTCTCGATCTAAGAAACCCAACAATAGTATTGCATTATAAATTGATAAAATTAATTAACAAGTTGAAATTATTTTCTAGATAATTGTTTTACAACTCACGCCGTATATAAGATCCTTAAGACTACCGTGATTAATAGGTTGGATCAAGACAACGTAGTTGAGTTCTTCGTACTCGAGAAATTCCAGGCCGAATATAGGACAAATGTATGGATGTTGTAGAGCGAGAAATAAATTGTTAAGGATGTCTTTCGTCGACGGACAGATACTCAACGGACAATTTCTATTCAAGGGCATCAGAGTGATGAGTCTGTCAGTTTTGAGCGAAGTATCTCTTACAGCAAACCAATGCTTGTCCACTCTCGATCCTAAAAGATACATGAACTTACTAAAGGAACAGAAAAGGAGTGAAACATAACATAAGAGTTGTTTTCGAATCCGATGAAATATGAATGTTCAACTAACATAAGTGGTTTTTCTAGAAATATTAACAAAGAAACTTGCACATAACTCACCGATGTTGTTGAGCTGTTTGATGAGAGTATACCGCGAGGTTCGTTGGATATAAGTCTGACAGATTGATAAAGCACGGTCTCTGGACCTTTTCTCCATTTCAACGTACTCGCCGACGTCCTCGCAAGCGGACGGTCCGTGACCCAGTGCCGTGTAGTGGTGTCGTCCATTTCTACGCCAGATACACACAAAATCCTGCTTAACCTCGTTTTCCTATGTCTTTTAAAATCGAACCTATGCGAACTTAGTTCTCTTGTATAAAATCATTTATATGTCCTATTTAAAATCCTTTCATTTGTTTTTATTTAAAAGTAAACCTATAAAATCCTATCTTTCCGCATATATTTAATATTTCTCTTCTTTTTTTTATATATATTCATATATATCGGGGAATCAAAAGAAAGAAAGAAAGATTTAAATCCGGATAATGTTTCTGACGGAACAAAGCGATTATATCTCTTGGTTCGTTTTCAGATGGAAATCATTTCCATTGGCAAAAGGTCGACTCCAATGATATCGTTTTTTAAAGTATCTTCCTTTTAGAGTTATGCATCCGTTATTAAGAGACGAGACGTACGTATAGCTTGACCTCGTTCGATGAACCACTCTACTCTCTCTCTACCTTCAAGCTTACAAACGTATGAATGTTAAATCAGCTAAAGGAATATTTTATGCGAGAGCAGCACTTTTAATCGGCTCTCCTTAAAATCTCCTTCTTCTAAAAATAGTCTTTTTTAATTAACGTTCTAAAAGAGAGAGAGAGAGAGAGAGAGATAGAGAGAAAGAATAAGAGAGAGAAAAGGTGAAAAAAAAATATTCTACCTGTCTTCTTCTTCTTTTTTTTCTTCTTTTTCAACGTTTTCGTTTATACGTTTTCTCGCTTGCGTTTCAATTCTGATTTCACTCGCTAATTCCTCTGGATCGCTTCTTAAGCGTTGCCAGAAGCGGATTAAATTTGCGAAGCAAGAATTACGAATTGGACGACGCGTTTTATCATTATTACTATGCCATGCTGCTCTGCGACTGCAAAGGTTTCATCCAATAAGAAATGATTACACACGTCGATATCATATTGCACTATTGTTCAGTCTTCATAGATTTATCAATATTTCCAATAATTTCGCGGCATACCGTGCATCAATAAGTTCATTCGATCAAAAGGAATATGTATATATGAGCACCGATTTGTCTTAAATAATACAACAGGAAAAAATTACGAAATGGTGCATCTATATTTTATCATTAGCGATTATTATTCTATCAATCGTTAATTATTTTCAAATTAAAATAAGAGAGTTACTCTTTGATCTTTTAACATTTGTTAAAATAATACAAACATGATGCGATACCGTTAAAGCCGTGGTCAATAAAACTTTGTTTGATATACACATGACAAATGGAATAAATTCGTTAAAAAAATATTGGATGTTACCTTCGTTGTTCCGCAACAGGCTTTTTAAATATTCGAACTTTAATATTTTGTTCGCATGCACGATGAACATTTTCCTCATATTTTTGTACGTCTGTCATTAGTTAAATTGAATTTATTTGATGAAATATACGGATTATAGGAAGTTAAGAATCCAACTAAAGTTTGACATGTACGACAATTATCCTGGCATATTTGTAAACAATTATTTCTAGTACTTGGACGATAACAATGTTCTCCCGGGCAAGGAGACGATCAAAGAAGAAAACAATCTTTGTACCAAAAGTATAATCGATAAACGGAATGAGACACGGAAAGATCTTCTTGGAAGATACTTCAGAAAAGACAATACCATCGAAGATCAGTTTGAAAGATTCCGATAATCTCAATAGCTGCTAAGATCTTCTCAGAATCAGCTTCAATCAGCTACGATTTTAACAATACCGTCTGGTGTCAGGTTGCCTATTCAACAATCAATATGCGATCTTCGTTAGTTATCGATCGTTTCAACGGATTTTGAGATATGATAAAGTTTTGGAAAAATATATGTATTAAATAATGGAATATTGAAAAATAAATGATATGATAAAGTTAAATTATATATATACTTACATACTAATGGCAGAAAATAGTATATATAGTGCCGAACAAAAGTATTTGTATGGAATAAATTTTTTTGTAAATTTGTAAAAAGTATATATTTTACTTATTTTTTGTTTTTTAAATATATCTATTGAGTTTAAGGTTTTAACCATATTGTAAGCCATAGAAATTAAATGTATGTATAACAGAAAAAACGTAATAAAAAATGCACAAGGGATTGTTTTTACTAGAAAAATATTTTTAATTGTAAAAAAAAGATATATTTTTTATCACACACTTATAATTTATCCACGGTTTAAATTACGATTTTGTATTTTTATAGATTTATTACAGATGCTATAAAAAAAATGTAGTTTCTTCGGATATTTTTGTTCGATACTGTATGTACAAATAATAGGCTAAAGTATAAACTCGAGTCGGACAGATAAAAGCGATCACACTTTTATCACATACTAATATACATACATACATCATACATCTGCTGTTTCGCACGTGTTTTAAAAGATCATCGATTTTTTCGAAAGATGATAAAATAAAAATATGTATATTTATGTTCCACTTATCGGTAATTTGTATATGCATTTGTGACCAATTTATTATGTAAAAAATATTCAGTTTATTTATTAATGTGATAGTATGATAAATTAAAAATAAATAATATTAAATGAAAATCGTGTAAAAATGAAATTGAATTTATTTCTCTAACGATTTCGTTACAAAAAAAAAAAAAAGAAATCGCGTATAAAAAAAGATCATGCAAAAAAGAAATTGGATGCATTACAAGGACTATATAAAAAAAAAGATTTCAAAAAGTTCATTCACCTGATCTCATTTTGATCTCTGCATCCTCGCGCGGCAGAGACACGATTGAATAAAATTTTAGCTAAATTGTCGATTTTGTTGGTCAATTGATAGCCCTTTTCCTCTTCGCTTTCGTCGTCCTCGATACTTGCGCTTCTTCCACGTCTAAGGACACCACGGGCAGATACCATAGCTTCGGAATCAAGCTCTATAGCACTTTGAGTTCTGCGATTAACGGCACGTCGTTTCCGACGCGTCCTTGGCCTCTCCTGCCAGAATCTATCATGTCCGGTGACATCCGATTCACGATGACTCTCACCCTCATCTTTTTTATTCAAGCTTTGATAAAGATTAAACATCTTGGGGATTCTTTGATTTTCTTGGAGTAATGGATCGACGTTCTTGGTCCCAGGACTAATACTAGAACATTACCAATTTCACTATATTTGTTTTGTTCTTTTAATTTCGGCAACATTTCACTCGCGTTATTTTTCATTTAAAGGTAAGAAAATGTTTTCATTTTTGTTTACTTTTTTGTTCTGTTTTACCTGAATCTTCTAATTTCATACGTACATATATATATATATATATATATATATATATATATATATAGCCGTTGTGTTCTAACGTTGGAGGCCTCTCTTGTGGAATAAAATTTAATTCGTTTTATTATTGAGGACGGATCATATTTATGTTGGCCCTCGGCAACCCCGTTATTGACGACCAACGTTCGGCCGAACAACGTTCCTCCGAATGCGAGAACCAAGTTGGTGCATCGAGGATGAGATGATACCGTGCGAATGCACCGGTTGCACTCGTCAGGAGAAGCACTCGTGCAGTGTCACCGGGTAGCGAGGGTGGACGGGCACTGAGCGCCCAAGCACAGTGCGAGCTTGCACCACCCCAGCCTGACACAGATTTGCCAGGGCAAGTACTACTTACTTACTTTTTCCCTCGCTTGCTGCGCTCGCGCCGATCGCGACCAACAGATCGGAGGGTAACGTATGGATGATACGTTTGGGGCTTCGCTACCACGGATATTTAACTAAATAAAGAGATTATCTTCTATATTCTTCTATTTTCCAGATAAACATCTCACCTTTCAAGCAGATTTACACGACTATTATTCAAATTACACTACTTTATTATAATTACATTACTGATCATCTAAGAGCTGCGAAAATGAAATGATTGTAAGTAATAATCAAGAGGAATGATTAGGATAATATTATTATTACTGTTCCTGTAAAACCTCGTTGAAATTATTTCTTCTTTTTTTTTTTTTAAATTAAAATTTAACAAACGTAGATTTATTGCTTTGCGGATTTGCTCTACTCTTGCGTAGTTTGAAAATTTGTTATCAGGAATGTAGGATATTCGTAGAGTTGATTAGAGATTCATCCTGTTGCGTTTTTCTTTTGTATATGTGTGCATATGTATATATAAGCATGTGTAACATAATGAAATTCGATCGAGTATTGAAAATAATGTTACATTTTCTATTAATATCATTTGGAAATAAATCTTTTTAAGTATTCTTACTTCCTCTATGTGTGAGCGCACGCGTGCATGATAGGAAATAGAAATCCAATTATACATATTTGTTTGAAATGTTATGCATATTTCGGATTCCTTTAACCTCAACGTTGAACTTGAAGACCATATGGGGACTTTAATCTTGCTTTACATTTTTACGGCTGCTTGGAAACGGCGTATATTTGTTGATCTTTTAAAAATCCTGATGAAGAGAATTTTTAAAATCAAACAATGAAAGGAATTTTTCTATTCTATAGATAATCTCTTTCTTTGCTTTTACGTACGAATAAATTCAAATTTAAGCTATTAATATTCAAATATTTATTACAAAATATAAACATTTCTTTATAATTAAAAACTTTGGATGAAATTTAAACGTTAGCACCTTCTTTCTCTAACATAGTTTTGTATTGTAATGGCCAACTATTTAACGACCTTCCCCCATATACCTAAAAGTATATTAATAATGATTTAATATGATTACAACTGTACATATAATAGTAATGACATAGAAAATTTGCTATACCAATACCTTTGATACAAATTCTAAGATGTCACGATAAGATACTTCATTTTCTGCACGAGGTCCCCATTTGTATTCATATTTTTCTGAATCTCCTTTATTTAATACTTTTTTCTCAAGGTACTGTTGCGCTACAAAATCCTGAATAAAATATTATTTCATTGTTAATATCGTGGATTAATAAACTTTGTCTGTAATTAAATATATATAACTTGTTTTACCACAGTAACTAGTTTTTTAACATCTCCAAAATAAGGATGCTGAAAGTTATCTTCCTTTATAATTTTTAAGCGTGTTAGAAAATCCCACAAGTTTTCTGCAATGTTCAAGTTTAAGTAAATACTTTATCAAACTTATCACAAATAAAGTGAATTTAATATTAATTTATATTATTAACCTTCTGTGCATGCATCTTCGTACATGAAGATATGACAAAGTATTATAAATAGAAGAACTTGTTCGGCTTTAGTAGATTTGTTAAAATTCAGATGCGGTATGCTGTTGTCGATTTCATTTACAATGATGTATTTACTGCTACCTATATCTACCAGTTGGTATCCAAACACCTTTTAGTGATGTATGTAATATTGTTTAGAATATAATGTATGAGAGAGAAAGTAAAAAAATACATATGAAGCTGGAAACATACCTGTGATAAGAGTAACTTAGTTTTTTGCAAAATCTGAGAATAGTTCTTTGTACTTCCTCCAAAGACATTTTTAATAATTTGTGCTTTTGTTATAGCGTTTTTTTTTTTTTCTATAGTAAATATATATCGTATAACTCTTCCAGCTAAATCTAATTCTTCTTGTTCATTTATATTTTTAGATTCTCTTTTTAGCCTTTCATTGGATAATCTGTCAGAATACTCGCTTGAACTTGCTTGAGAAAATGCCTTGCGCTCAATTATTTTAGCATTTTTTTTCATTTCTTTTGTGCCACTATCTTGTGACAAGAATCTCCGTGTATCACTACTCGTACTTTTATATATATTTTCATTATTCTCATTATCTCCAGAATCCTCATCTTCACTAGTACTATAGTAAGTTCTTCTCTTTGAACCACGTAATCTACTGTCTACAAAAATATTTTATTCTAATTATGGTTATTTTATTTTTTATTAATTATTTTACTTACACATTTTAGAAAATTTTAGATTGCGTGGATCTAAATTTCTTTTCTTTTTCGAAACAATATTTCTTTAGAAAAAATATGAATAGATATAATTATATTGATTACTTCTAAATGTTATTATTTATGAAAGTTCAAGCAAAACAATGATCAAAATAATATTTCTAACCATACTTTTCGTTAGAATGAGTTGCAGCGTTACTAGTAGCAAAAATTGAAACTACATTCGCTACATTAATGAAACTATTTTATCTATATACGTTTTGGAAACTATCGATAAGTACTTTACTTTGCCGATAACGTAGATTGGAACGCTACTTTATCGGCCTAAAACTTTTCGAACTCCTATGATAGACAACCATAGTTATTATAAAAAAAAAATTATTAGTGTGAAATATAAATTGTGTTGTCGATTTTCTGAAATATATTCAACTCAATAATTAATATTCAATAGTAATTATTTGAATTAAATAATTAAGAAGGCAAGAAAATAAAATGTCAGAGATGAATTTTGTATCTCTTGCTTTTGTAATATTACTTTGTAATTAAAAAGTAATAAGTGTTATTTATTGGGTCAGAATTTTTAAATATTTTTAAACATTATTTTAAATAAATGGTCAGTATTTATTATAAAATCTTAATATATTATAATATAAATACAAAAAAAAAACAATATTGTATTGATAAAATGCGATTAAATACTAATACTTGATTATTTATAAGTATACTGAACAGAAGAATTATATATACCGATTATTTATTTTATTAAATGTTTATTAATTATTATGAAAAATATTGATCAAATAAATAGAAGCGAAAAGAAATAAAAGTCGAAAGAAATAGAGTTGCATAGTTTACAGGAAATAATCTTTCTATATAAATCGAAAAGAAGAGAAGTTCAGAGAAACTTGTTTCAATGTGAACAGTTGCACCTGTTCAGCGGTCCGTTCATTTCTCTTTTGATGACAGCCAAGGAGAATCCAACACCTCATGTAATTCGTCTTCTCTTAACAGAACAATAGAATCACTTACAAATACTCTCTCGGACATTTTACGAGCAAAATCGAGAGCAACAGAAACAATTTGCTATCGATAAACATCTAAATACATTTATTTCATCTCGACTAATGATTTGAAAAGAATGGATAAAACGTAGACATTTATAATTTTTTTGTCTTCACAATAATCATATCAATTAGATTCTGTTACGATTTACGAAGAGAGCAACGATCATCGGTCAGCTAAATAGAGACGTGTCTAAATCCGGATGGCAGCTGGTGAAACATTTGTAAAACAAAGACAAGTACAAATGAGTAGTTCATTTGCCAAATCGATTAAAACTCTATACAAAATAAAGAATAAATAAGATTAATGAAGTTATATATTATATATTGTTATATCATCATTTATATTATTCAAAAGCTTTAACAATAACGTTCTCATTTATTGTTATCAACCTAATTATTAAACACAAATATTTATTTTAAATAGGACAAATAATATATTAATCACAATGGATTGAATTCGAAAGATTAAAAAAAAATTCTAAAAGTAGATTTACTTTGCTTTGTAAACGATTCAAAATAAGAATAGTTTTCAAATGAAACGTTTGATATTTCATTTAATCTCAGTGATTAACAGTTATATTTTATCTTAAGGAAAAAGAAATGTCAGCAAAGAAATCCAAGCTAGTAGTTATCGCGATAGTCGGACAATATAAACGCGTTAATTAGCATCAACGAGTGGGATTATTAAAAACAAAACGATCGAGGCATAAATTCGAATTACTCCGACATTAACGTCCCTACTACGAGTTGGCTCCTTTCGTTTAATCGACGATACCTTGTTGGGAGTAAATGGCGTAACGAAAACGGTGGTTCGATATAATCACCTAATTACATGTTGCCAGCCAGATAAAGCGCACCTCCGAGTGTTCCCTTTGCACACGGTTATCAACGTTACCTTCTTCATCGTCCCAATAACCGATCAGATTTATTCTTTTGTCAAGTGAAAGTTCATTTATTTGGGTCAACATTGAACACAATTAACGATTACAATAATTCTACAATATATTCTATTACAACACAAAATAATTTCTCAATTAGAAAATTTAACAAAACAAATTCTCTCATCACAATGAATAAGATTAGAAAATTATACTACGATCGTTTAAAATCTTTTCTCTCGACCGTACGTAAGCGGAGCTTGAAAACGATTCAACATCGAGGAGAATAATTCAAACGAGACAAGTTTAAACCATCTTCTGCTGTACTTTTTTTTGAATATGTACATTCCGGTAGAAGTACGGTGCTTTACGGTGAATACAATGGTACAAGATAAGCGCGTCATTGTTCGTCATCGGTGATAAAAACTAGTTACGCCAAGGTAGGACAGCGTGCAACATTGTCTCGAAGGGAAACGCATCGTGCTATGTGTTCGTCGTCGTCGTCATCCTTCTCTCCTTCTAACGTTACCAGGGCCAGAGCACGTAATTGTGTATCTGCCATAAGACGCTACGTGTATGAGACTTGACAATGAATTATACAGCAAGTAGCCGTACATGGACTTGGATGAGAAGTGAAAGAGTGAAAAAGAGAGAAAGATATAAGAGAGAGGGAGGGGGTGGGGGAAATATGGAAGAGGGGCAGGGGACATTGGCACGGAAAAGACGCCACGCGCGAAGCCTTTCTCGTGCGTTCGCAATGAATCTTATTTGCAAATGATATTACTTGTATATCTTCTTAAAGTGTCATCAGGTTTCCTTCTAGATCTGTATGTAATATATGTATTTATGTATGGATGTATACATATATATACACTACACTAATCGAAAGTTTGGCTACACTTATTACATTTATATTACACACTTAAGTGTAAACATCGTCTTAGATCAAAAGAAAACTTGTGGGACTTTTTAAAAAATAGTTGTAATAATTTACACGTATTTGTATAGTATGACGATGATCAAGAGTAAAGATAGATTAAATAGTTCATCTTTGATATCTTGTTGGCAGTAGTACGCTTTGCATGTGCGTTCTCGCATTATTCGCGTGCGGTATGCGTGTATGGATTGATGCGTGGACCACGTGCGTTTTCGAGCTTACACGCATTCCGGGGGTAGTAATTTCATGCCTCTATTGGATCCCCGTACACGCGATCGTAGAATGGAACACGAATCTCGTCGATTCGGCATTACGCATCGCGTAATGAGAATTGTAATTTGTGCATACATCGCGACCGATGCGAATCTAATATGTATTCTAAACTGTTCCTGGATATTTCGTCCACGGTGTGCGACACGAAACGAGATGGCTCAGCGAGATGCATATTAACACGATTAATTAGAGATGACGAAGGTATACCTTCATGACGAACTGTGATAGAACTTTGGAATCGATGAGATACGTGCAAATTTTATAAAAATGTCCGTCAAATGAGGGGATAAATGAATAACGTGAATTGTTGGATCTATTCGATGGGATAATTATCGTAAAACATTTTTCCATTATTAATCCTATGTACCAGCCATTGAAGTCACATGACGACAATGAGAGAATAGAAATCGATGCTATACGTGAAAATTTTCTAAAAATGTCCGTCTAATGAAGGGTTAAATAAATAATTGTTGCAACGAAAATTGCTGCATCTATTTGATGGGATAATTATTGTGAAACATATTTTTATAAATAATATTATGTACCAATCCTTCGAGTCACATTACGACAATGATAGAAAATGAATCGATCCGATAACATGCAAATGTAATACAAAATTGTATGCAGAAAGTTTAAATAAATAATATGATTTTGTAGAGTCTCAATTCCTACGTCTATATGGTGGGCCAATTATCGCGAAACATTTTTCAATGATCAATCTTACATTCCGATCTTCGTAGTCACGTTTAAAAAGGTACTTAGGTATCTTCGGAAAAAGGGCAAGAGGACTTGGGTGTGTTAGGTTTAACTTTGAGAAGAGACGAAGAGGAAAGAAAAGGACCGGATCCCCGAATATGGAGCTTCTCTTCTCCTACTGGTACTTTCCTTACCCCTCCAATAAGGTTTAATGGGGACGAACAAGGAATGAGTGTGCCGGTTCGTTTTGTGTGGTCCAAAGGAAGGATCGTCGAGAGTGCCGAGCCCTGGGCTCATTTTTATTCCGGAGAAGCTGTCCATGGACGTACGTCGGACGTTTCTCAAACACCCTGTACACGCGTCTTCTCTCTTTGGCATCGTCGTCTCTTCGCGAAAGAGAGAACTCAAGATATAACTCCTGGTTCTCGTATGCGAGACCCTGGCGCCGCACTGTCGCATCTTATATACAGAATCTTTTTCTTTGTTTTTTTTCTACTTTTCTTTCTTCCTACCTTTCTTTCTTCCTTTCTTTCTTTCTCTTTCTCTTTCTCTTTCTTTTCTACGAGTACTAATACATATAAAGAAACGGCTATGAGAAAGTGAAAAAGGAATCACAGGGATAAATATCGACGATCTTTAACAACGATCAGAGTGAACAACACTGATGAAGTTTAGGAAATACTTTAAAGCTTTTTCCTTAGGTTCATGTGGAAATGTATAGATAAGTTTGATTATCAACGTACATAGTTTTTTCATTTCAGAATAAATTGCATGAATGATTGATTATAATTTGTTAAATAGTCAACATTTATTTTTCTCTCTCCTTTTTCTTTTTCCTTTTTTTCTCTTCTTTTCTTTTACTATTTAGAAGACTCGTTTGGTGTCTGATTATTGGCGAATTAAATTCAGACGATAGATTTTTTGTTAAATTTTTGTTTTTTCTTTGGAAATTTTGTTTGATAACATTATAATATTATAATGTAACATTCAATTCAGACGTAGAGACAAATGTGAATCATTGAAACGAGAGAGAGACGGAAAGATGCACCGGTAATCGGTTTCAGCATATCGGTTTCAGTATTCTCATGGCTCCTCCCGTATCGTCGTAGTTGCCGGTGCTGCATTAATTAAGCGCAGATGCCGATGCCTTGTCACCCGCCATTTGCCATTCGCATTCGCGTTTGTGTG